AGAGGGGGGCGCTCAGATAGCGGCCTCGGACGGGCCAGGGCCCCCGGGAGGGACGGACGAGGAGGCACTCAGCACCTTCTGGGACACTGAGAGGGGAGACGAAAGAATGTGAAGTGGCGCTGAGCTAACCGGGGCTCGGGCCGACCCCGACTACACACGATGTGTCTCAGGGAGCTCTCACAGGTCAGTACCGAAGCTGAGAGAGCGGGAAAAAAGAAAAAAACGAGGGAGAAAAGAAAGTCAAGACGGCTTTGAGTGGAAATAGATGGCGACGGGTCAGCGCCAGGCCTCCCGGGCCCGGCGTTATCTCGGAGGCTCGTGGAGCTCTCCGCCGATCACTGCGCTTCCCTTTGGAGGGGAGAGGGAGGGAAAATTCCTCAGCACTTCTATTTGTCCAAATAACGCTGGCGAGACCCCAGAGAGTGTTCCAGTGAGCGTGTTCATTCAGAGGACAGGGCGCACGTCCAGAGAAATCGCTGTTTAATAGATGAGAGGGAGACTCATACCAAAGTGGAGTCTCATGACTTGGAAGCACTAAAGAAAACTGTGAACTCCTTTTATCCCAAGCAAGATGGATTTGTCCCTGATGCGTTAGCAAACATCATGAACACAGGATGGGGTGATTTAATGAGAGAATCCCACCATTTTACCCCCGGAAGACTTACTATTCCCTGAGGGACAACCAGCTTTCTTTAGGCGAGTGGTTGATCACGTCATTGTGGTTCAGACCTACCAATACTGACAAAGACCGGCAGGACTGGACCTCTATTAGCCCTGCAGGAACCATTTTATTGCCCTTTTATGCTCACAGACAGAGAAGAACTAAGATAGAAACTGAACAAGGGAATGCAGAAAAAAAAAGTCTGGAACTTCCCAGCCTTCGTCCACTGGAAGACGAGAGGATAAAGCGGGACCATAAAGCTGCCAGCAGAGAGAGAGGGGGAAAAAAGACCTGTTCAAACAGGTCTGCACAGCAACAAAGAGCATCCTGCTGCAAAACACCACCTCAGTGCACTGTGGGACGGCCCGGGAGGAGAGTGTCTGCCGGACGGAAACAACCAACCAGTAGAGAATACCAACAGACCAGCATCCAGCCAGAAGCGGGGGGGGGGGGAGGAACGGTGTCACAAACAGAAGAATTCATTCACACCTTTGGGCATATACGGCCCCATAACCTGCCGTTATCTTTATTTGTCTTTAGTGTGCAAGGAGTTGTGCGTGGGGGAGAGAAACACACACACACCTACACACGTACACAAAGAAAGTTGGACATCCTTTGATCTTTGATCCAGGCCATCCAGATCAGATCCACGGAGTCCCAGCAGCTTTAGGCAGACCGGAAACCATAAGTGGCTGTCCAGCACCAGGAGCACCCCCCCCCAAAAAAAGCCTTATCAATTATGGCAAAGTCAAGCCTCTGGCTCGCCGTTCGCACACACTCCCACACCTGGTGAGTGAAGAGAGACGGGATCTCACAGTCCCCCACGTCTGTCGTCCCGTTCCTCTGGAGACGGTAAATAAATTCACAGGAACCTTAATCCACCCCTGAATCCCAAATATGCACGCTGAATGGAGCACATACTTTACATTAACAGCATGCATTTACCCAAAAGGGGGGAGGGGAACAAAAAAAAAAAAGATAAACTCACATGAGTCTGAACATGATCTGTTGCTGTTTAACGGTCTCCAGCCACACCTTGATATTAACTGTGCTGCATGAGCCTTAGATTCCAAAAATAGTTACAACCAAACAAAGATGTCATGTTGGAAACGATACAGCTACAAGAGCTGGCAGCCTCCGTCTGTTTTCACAGAGGAGAGTAAAAATAGCCTAAAAACCAGCTAACCTTAGTCACACCTGTTTGTCATCGCTCCCATCAAAGGAATTAAGATATTCTGTCATCAGGTGCTGGATGGAAAGTGTGATGAGCACAAAACTGATGGTCACCTGAGGAGCTTTTTCCTGTCAAAAACAGGTGCCGGCATAATCGTTTTCAACCCGGAGCTCCTCTGATCTGCGGGGGTTCTGACACCCTTTACTTATTTGTTTCTCCTCGTCCTGATTAGCACAAGTGTTGAGGTAATAAAGCTGTCAACAAATTCCAACACGCGAGGTGAGGAGGAAATATGCCCTCTTATCCACGCTGCTTTCAACAGCTTTGGCTCTGCACAAACTCTGAAGGGCTCTCAGGCCGTGCAGGTGTGTGTGAGTGTGAGTGTGTGTGTGTGTGTGTGTGTGTGTGTTGTGCGTGGCAGCTGGGGATCAGGAGCCCCACGCAGAGGCTGGTGGAGCCCCCCTCTAACGACGCCCGTACCTGCATTAGCTTCCCCTCCGCTCTGCCGGCGCTTCCTCCCACGAACACTCCCTCCAACACGATGGGCTTCCCCGCGGGCTCGTGCTTGACCAGCGTCACCTTGATGAGCGCCGCGCGCTCGGCCTCCAGGCCCGGCTGGCCCGGCACCACCTGCAGGGCCGCCATGAGCAGCCAGAGCCCGGCCAGGCTCCGCGGGGGGACGCTCATGGCCTCGGCTGGGGCGGCGGGGCCCGGCCAAGCATGGTGTGCACTTCAAAGCGGCCAGAGGGCCCCAAACGTCCAGGACCGTCTGCAGAGTGGGGTGGGCTGTCTGCGCTCCCAGCGGGTCACTACTGTCCGGCAGATGTAATCCCAAGGTGGAGAACTTCCATTCAGCGGCTCAGACAGACTCCGCAGGTCTGAGGGACAAGGACACGCGCGCACGGGGGCCAGAAATCAGAGAAAAGGGGGGGGGCCCTGGTGAACTTGAATCCAGAGTCGTCGGTGTGAGGTGTGGAGTTAAACCCCTGCGTGCACGCGTCCCCGCGGGGCCGCGGGCTCCATCAGGCTGCTGGTACCCTCGCTGAGCGCGTTAAAGCCGGGCTGGAGGATCCCTCTGCCCCCCCCCCCCCACCCCTTCCCCAACCCCCCCACCCCCCAGCAGCAGAAGGACGGGTCCCGGTCACGGTGTATCCGTGTTGGGGTTAGTATGGCACCGCTCGCAGATCCACGCGCTTCGTGACCAAAAGTGGACTCGGTGGGCTGCGGGAGGGGGGCCCGAGCCGTGGCCGCATGTTCTGGAGAAATCCACCGGAAAAAAGAGCAGGGAAGCGACGACTTGAACTTCAAAGGCTGGGCTACAGGTTGCCGCCGGAGGGATTTAAGGCGTGCTGGGTGATAAAAAGAAAAGAAAAAAGGATGCCGAAACGTTGTGTAAGAAATCTCTTTTACAGCCGAGGAATTGCGAAAAAAATAAATCCTCGAAGAAGCTGTTAAATTCTGTCCTCCGCTCTATCTAATTATTAACCGAGGCGGACCGTCGCCTCCACTTCACCCTCAAAACTGTTTCAGAATCGATGCAAAAAAGAGAAAAACAACACTAAAACTTCTCTCAACCAGCATCAACCTGTTGTTTTCAAAAAGCTTAACTTCAAACTCAGTATCTTGTTCTAGAGAACTTCTCGAAAAAGGCACTAACAGTGGTTTTCCCGGATTTCTGAGCCTCCGCTGCAGGGAGAAATGAGAGCCGATCCTCCAGAGAGAAAGCCGAGGGGAAAATGAACCGGCTGACAAAGTTCTGAACCAGTACGGAGGAAACGGAGCGCTCCGGACTCCACGTCGTCCTCATGTAGAGCTGACACTGCGCAGAGGCTGGCCCAACAGGGGGGACGCCGTCCCAGAAGCCGAAGTCCCGCACTCTGCCTGGCTCCCCTGGGATCTCATTGTCACTCTACCTGCTCCGTCCTGCTGCCTCCACGTGCCGCCGGAGCAACGGCCTCCGCCAGCGACCCACCGAGATACCGACACCGACACGCAGAAACGGGACAGCACGGGGGAGAGCACGCGAAAGTCCGTCTAACTAAACGACGTTTTAACCAGGAGTTAAATGTTAATATCAGTAAATTCGACTTGTGGAAACGTCAAAGCAAAAACGTGCATACACTTTAACTATGAGATGCTATCACGTATTCCGTTTCTTAAAGAAGATATTTATACCACAATAAGTATTTCAATCAAGAAACCTAAATAATGTTTAAGAAGATAATCAGTTGAGGTCCACACTGCTCCCAGCCGTCCCTGAAGGCAGCATTTGCTGGCGAGCAGCGCGTGAGCGGCGAGCCGATGGCGCCCTCTAGTGTTTCCTCCTCACGACGCAGGAACAAACCACCAGCTGCACGTGCTCAACTTTAATCTGACTTCTTTGCACAAGAGCCTTAAACAACGTGACAGTTTGGAAAAAGAATTCATGCGTGAGGAAATACAGTTAAAAATAAAAGGGTGGGTACAAAACACCACCATCAACTGCTCACCGCCTCAAAGCATACAATCCAAAGTATATATTAAATATTACATTTTTTAAAAAATAAATTATTCTGAATTTTTCTAATTCATAAAAAAAACTTCTACTGTGAAAACTTGTCACAAAGAAGTTTTGTTTGTGCCTTTCATGACACGCAGCACTATTTCATTTAACAAAGTTTCCAAAATGTGTAGTTTAAAAGGTTTTTACACCTAAATTACAAGTCTTTAAAAACATTTCAGGCAACAGTGCTTAAAAGTAAAGCCTGCCGTATGAATCATAAAATGCACAGAGGTGCAAGTAGTTGTATTTCAAACTGGATATAAACAGCACCGTTCCTCAGGTTATTGTGAAATACCAAAAATAATTTCAAATAAAATTATGAAATCTCACCTGAATCATCACAAAAGTGTAAAACATCAGCAGAAATTTTCACTGGGATCTATGATAAATAAAGCAGCAAACGTCCACACAAGAAAGAATCGTTAAGGTGGAGACTGAAGTCCTCGGAGAATTTCGGATCTCATGGCCGGGGGAGTCGCACGCCTGTCCGCCTGAGGTCCAAATGAGAGATGTAACCAAGAGTTTAGGGTTTCTCCTCTACTAGTTTTTCTCCTTAAGGGGGTCTTTAAAGGCTCAATAATATCTTACCTGCAGAGCTGTTGTACTCCTTGTTCTCAGCCGGTTCAGCCCTGACTGCTGTCCCCAGGGTTGTCGCTCGTCTCCACATTTATAATCTCATACTTGGTTTGATCGCAGGGTACCTTCAGGGGATGCAGAAGAAGAAAACAGCAATGAACATTTCTCTTTTCAGTAAATGCTGAATACCTTCAGGACGTCCGTGCTATGGAGGCTCACCTCATAGATGGCGTCCTCGGGCATCTGCTCGGGCACCAGCACCACGGCCTGCTCCTGCTGCCTGGCTGTGAGCAGAGCAGGGCAGCTGAGCACCGGGATGATGATGGGAGCAGCGGAGCCGGCCGCTGCCCCGCCGCCACCACCGCCGCCGTCACACAGAGAGGCGCCGCAGCGGTCGGGGGCAGGCCTCTCAGGAGTCTCCACTTTAACCAGACAGGTACTGGGGGAGTTCTGCATCACCTCATCCGCAATCTGGAAAATCGCATCCAAACTGATGTCGCATTTTTTCCCCTCCTGGTTTTCCTTATGCGGCAGGTCCCGAATCTGGTCGAACACACTGACAGGATTCCCGGCCTGAGACGGTAAAACGAGAAGTTTCAGTCAGTTGGACGTTGGATGTGTTGGACGCGTGAGAAACATTGCAGATCACACATCAAACACCAATAGAATGCGATCTCTTTTACTTACCTGGCAATAATTTTGGCGAGAATACAAGCCGGCCTGGACGTCTGCAACAGGTGGGGCCACGAGGTTTGGATGGCAGCAGTGGCAGACTTTAAGGGAGACAAAAGAGAAAAACCATCCCCTTAAAACACACCATCAATGCTCCAGAATTTTTGCAGACACAAATGTAATTGTTAAAAAAAAAAAAAAAATCGGGGACTTGTACATCTCAGTCACTAATGTGTTCTCCACAGCCAAAAGTTTTATCCATGAATCTGACCATTTTGTGAAAAGAATATTAGCTCATCGTAAATTTCCCGGCAGAAGGTCAACAAAACAGCATTGGAAACACTTGAAAACTCAGCAGGAGACGGTCTGCTGGACCTTTTGGGAATGTCTGAATTATCGAAGCTCCAAATGTTCACTGAAACATCAGGGCCAAACCCTCTCTTACCTGAGGAGTAGAAACCAGGGTGGTAGTGTGGATTTTGAGGATTGTAACCAGAAAAATGGGTGTTTCCGTGGTTAGCCCGGGTCAGAAAGTCCTGCTGTGCTTGCAGGGCACTGGAGTTGGAGGGCGGTCCAGAGTAATGCTGGCTTAGGGGCAGCCCCGACTGACCCCTCATCTGGTACCGCGGTGGAACCGGCGTCCCGCTGTATGCTTTCATGACCTGGCTCCTGTCGGTTAGGCCTGGATGGGCCGATTGGGGATGAGCTGGACTGAGCAGGGGGGAGCTCCCTGCAGCAAACACAGCGGTACAGGTCAGACAGCAGAAGGGGCTTCCACTCTTTCTGTAGTTTACCACAACTGACCTCAGGGATCACATTAAATCAGGCAAAGCAACTCACTTCTTCTCAAAGTCTTGTCCCTGTTATCACCGCCTCCACTCAGCCGCTGGTATCGGTTCGGAAGCCGGCAGCTCACGTCCAGACCAGCCCGGATCTTGGCCTTATTGTCCACCGTGAGCCTCCGGAGCCGGGCGACGTGTTCCGGGTGGGATCGCTGAAAGTTGGGGTTGTAAAAGTAGTGGCAGGTGCCGCCGTCCAGCGCGGCCTGGCTGCTGAGGGTGGGGTCGGCCTTCCTGAAGCCGTACAGGTTGAGCTGCCGGACGAAGCTGGAGAAGTTGCTGGTCTTGAAGCTGTCCTCGTGCGGCGTGGCGGTGCCGGGGGACAGGACCTCCCTCTCGAAGAGCTGCTGGTCGATGACCACCACTTCGCCCATGGGGTCCCAGCGGATGGCTTTGTTGGATGGGTTGCCGACCAGACGCCAGAGCTTGGCTGGGAAGTTGTTGGGGTTGATGGTGTCAGGGAGGGAATCATCGTCCATTCTGTCCGCGGAGCTGGAGACAGACCACAGTCACGGACATGGACTCAACTCAAACACCTTTCTCTTCAAGTGGCTCTCTTAGCAAAGACAAGGACTTGTCATTCTTTAGCTTTATTTGAAATTTAAGTGTTAATGTACCGATAAAAGTTTACATTTTAAACTTTGCTCGTAGATACTAGCTTTGCCATGGTACCGTATAGCATAGCTCCCATTGGCCTCACCTAACGGTCCACTGCGGTAAAATAATAAATATAAATACATGTATCGTGGTGTAAATGTATTAATAGGAAGAGCCTGATAATTATTTAGGCATTTTCGTACAAATTTCTTAAGTAAATCCACAGCAAATGGAAATATAGCGATAAACGTACCTGGGTGGTCGCACTTAAAACCGTTGAAAGTCTCCGAGCCGTTGGAGCTATTGACGGTCTAACGTTTTCCATTTAAAGTGATTCTGGACCCAACCGCCACAATTCTGTCACTTTACTCCGTTTTACAACGAGCCCACTGAACTCAGACATCTTATTTAGCAAGTTTGGGCCCCCTTCGTCAGACATGAGTCCACAAGATGGTGCGATTTGAACCTAATCTCTAAAGTTTGAGCCTGGGAGACAGAAGGCTGTAAAGTGCATCTAAAAAGTGGTCAAACACGGGTTTAAAGCTACAGTGCTTTTATCTTTTAAATATTTGGATTATCTGCCTGCTTGGAGTTTAAATGCCTCGTTTAATGAAGTAGTAATAATCAGTGCAGGAAAATGTTCCTTTACTTTACCTGCTTTATGATGGATCTGGTCCAGGTAGTCCCCCAAGTGAGTTTAGAATCACAATATTACAAAACAGTAAAACAAGGACATAAAACAGTCAAACTGAACTTTATGCCTCAATCTCTAAAGATGCTTAAAAAAAATCTAATTGTGGTGATTTAGCAGTAAACTTCAGCTCTGATTCTGCCCTCATTTGGTTCAGTAATAAAATAGTGTCTTATACATGTAGAAATTATGCATGTCGATGAGTTTATTAAGGGATGAATATAGTTTTGTTCAGTTAAAAGCTCAGTAATATTATCCATTTTTAAAATGCCAATGAAATGAACCAGGATGGATGGATTGATATTAAAATGTTCAAAAAGACAAAGCTGGTTCTACTTTTTTGACTTCACGTTTTCATCAAATGAAGGAAGGTGTTTGATTTGCTGAACAGTATAACCAGGTTAAAGCTGAATTACAATGAAAGCTGCAAATATATGAGAATAAACACCTGTTTTATTCTCGTAAACCAGTAATATTCAAGAAAGTGGTAATAAAAGAATAATATGAATTATATTCTTGAAAGCAGTTCATGAACATGCACAGTTTTACATTTATGTTTAGACTGATAGTCATGAAGATTTAAATAATTCTTCATTCACTTATACATATATATAGATACATATACATAGAAAAGTACATTTATAACACAAAATACAAATTATTAAAGTAACTCTGAGGTTTAGCCTGCTCTGGAGACCTTGGAGGTGGATTGACCTAATGAACAATATTGCCCACCTTCTACTTTATATTGTGTTTAAACAATGAATGTCTTCAGTGAGAGGCTTGAGCATTACTGAGATACTGATATTATTAAAAAAGGACAGAAACGTCTCAACTGGGTCTTGCATGGTCACGTGATGGACATTTTTATTCAGGCGGATAGTAAGGACGCCTAATTATGGGTCCTATTCAAGGCGTACATGGTGACGTCTTTCCCCAGCGACAGGAAGATAATCACACATACACACAAAACAAAAAACGGCCTGACTCTGTTAGTACTTTGAGGTGTTTGTGCCCTATTTTCTGGGTGAGTTGACAGAATGGCCTTGGAAACGGTCCCCAAAGACCTGCGCCATCTACGGGCTTGTCTTCGTTGCTCGCTCGTAAAGGTAAATAAAAAATTACGAGTCGAATTAGCCACTGCGCTATTTTGTTCTGGCTCACTGCGAGCCATTTCCTGCTGCTTGGTCTCACGTATACATTGAAGTGTCCATAACCGCATTAATGTTGGCATTTTCGGCTTGTGTTCCTCAGACTATCGACCAGTTTGAATACGACGGCTGTGACAACTGTGAGTCGTTTCTTCAGATGAAGGGCAACAGAGAGATGGTTTATGAATGCACGAGCTCCTCGTTTGATGGGTAAACACAAAACATTGAATATGTGTTATATAACTGTAGTATAAGTTTTTTCAATTCTCCTCGTGTTAACAAATACCGTTAATATCCACAGGGTGATAGCCATGATGAGCCCTGACGACAGCTGGGTGGCCAAATGGCAGAGAATTGGTAAGAGTCTGGACTACATCCTGATCCAGATTCTGTGGAATCAATAGAAAATGGCCCAGTTGTTCAACTTATTCCACAAAGCTAGTTGGAAAACATCACTGTTAAGAAGTATCAGTAATTATTTACATTATACATGCAAATTTCTTTCACCGTGGACAGTCCAGTTCCAGCTGTAAAGAAAAATAGAGAAGCCTCTTTTCTTTTACATGATTCAGCCTTCCTTTATTATTGTTGAGAATGCTCGATCACTTCACTTAATTTAAAAAAACAAAGTTTGACTGGACCTAATACAGCAGGTTCCACCTGATGAGTGCATTAAGGTTTTCCATGCACCCCCAAGACTCCTCTTCAAGTCTCAACATAGTTTAGGTGTAAACCATTGTTTTAGTCCCATATTTAGCATGCTTGGAGACACAAAATGTTGGTTTTTTTCAGGAACCTTCAAGCCTGGAGTTTACGCCGTGTCAGTAACTGGCAGACTACCTCCAGGTACACTTATCCTGACGGTTTTACTTTTGTTCTATACCATCCTGTCAGCTGTGTTGCTCATTATTTTTAATTTTCTAAAGGTGTGGTGAGAGAGCTGAAAAGCAGAGGTGTGATCTACAAGTCCAGAGACACAGCTGTGAAGTCATAACCCCGACTTTTCCCCTGGCCCTGATGAGCTGCAGCACCATTTCCTTTATGTTTTGTATCAAACTGTTAACTTTTCATTCTTTTATGTTGTGATTACTCCTATAAACACAGGTTACAAGGCAAAAAAACTTATTTGAGTAATTGGAAATGAAATAAAGTTATTTTAAAAATGAAATGTCATTCATCACTAAAATAAGTTTAAAAAAAAAAGTTTAATATATCCGCATTGTGCCAGATCTGACTGATTTAGAGATAGAAACGCACCATTAAGAATCACCTTTCTTACTTTAAGCAGCTTGTTAGTTGGTGAAAAGTGTGTAATAGTGCCAGTTATTCAGTGACTTTTCTTCTACAATGTACATCACCTATTTAGTTCAATAGACAAATGTTTCTGGCCACCTTAAGAATAGAACCTCAAGCTTCAGACCACTGAACAAGAATTGAATAAACAAGTAAACATGTTAGCTCCAAGATCTTCTCAGTATGTCTGTAGATTGTGCTTGTTTGAAATGTCCTCTATTTCCTCACAGAAGAAGGAATTGGTGCTTTAGCAGACACGAGTAGGACGGGCTGCAGTAGCAACGCACTGGAGAGAGGAGGAGCTATAGTCCAAATGATTAGGGTCCTATTCTGGCTTCCTTAACAGGCTCCATTCAAACCTTAAAGAATCTTTAAGTTGGGGTAATTGTATAGCCTGAACTGGATAGCATCTAATGTGGCCTCTGCTGTGTATATCACATCCTAAATGAGACCAGATTTGATCAACATGGTCTTAGTTCCCTGATGAGACCTACTTATGAGACATGCAAAGCATTTTATCCACATTTACAACTCATACAACATCATAATTTCATAAACAAATACTTCACAGCAACCTGTCGTGACTCAGAAAGGAGAGATTTAAGTTGTTTATTGGATCAGACGACACCACCAGATTCCGGGATGTCTGAAGGGTTTCTGTTTCTATTCTTTTCAAAGACTAGTGGTCATTTAGCAAACTAGAAACTCCATTTCCAGAAAGTTTTAGGGAAAATTTCAATCAATTAATTAAATAAAAGGACAAATCTTTATTTTGTTCATTTATGAGAACCTTTATTACAAAACATTGCCGTTACAGTTATCATTGCATTTAAAAAGTATAGACATATCTACTATTTTAATCCAGAAAACCTTGGATTAGTGTTATATTACCATTGTTTTAACTTGACTAAGGTGTGAACAGTGTCTGCATACATTTTAGAAAAATCAAGATGTCGATTCCTCTCCTAATGATGCTCAACAAATTTTATCTATGAAACAGTTACGTGCAGCTAAAAGAGTATCCTTCTGCATTTTCCTTTAATCTCTCTGAAAAAAAAGACAACAAACTCCGACATGTGGCCCTGATTCAATGGTAGCTTCACGTGTGTGTAAGTCGCCCTACGTCGTTGTACGCCCAAACCATCACAGACTGAACTTTACAACCTTCTGTGGACAAACAAGCCTTCAGTTGGCTTCTCTAAACACACTGTTTATGTCCTTGTAGATGTTGAAAGACCAACGGAGAGCTTCATGAACCGTTCTTAGATTCTGTCTCAAACTTAAAGTGATTTTCCTCAAGGAGCAATATTCATGATGATGTAAGAGCTGTGGGGTCTGCTTTTTTGAATGACCGTCTAAATGTTCTTTAAATACAGTTCGCCTTCATTCTAGCCTGCAGGTAGCAAACAGCAGTGTTTAAAGCTCAGCGGACGAAGGGCCAGCGCCTGTGGAACAGAGAGGGACACACTCCTGTCTCTTTATTTCAGCAATCTTTGCTTTGAAGCTGTGCAAGTGAAAGGGTTTGATATGGATGAAAGCCATTTCAGTGCAGTGTTTAGCTCTAAAACGGTTGCTTTGCCTCATACACGGTGTGTTTTCAATAAAGACATGAAATCATAATAAGTAGCAGAACACATCTGAGAAATAGGTGGGCGGCAATGCCATAAGCATTTGACCCTATTAAACGATAAGCATATAAATGTTCTGAACAACTGTACAGATGCATGTTAAGGTCAGTATCTCCTGAACCACCACATTTCCCCTCTTCCTCTGCCACATTCAGGCCAGGGGTCAACAAACCAGCAGCACCTGCTCATCAGCTTCATGTGCACGGCGACGCTGGCTGACTCATTAAGCCACAAAATCTTTTAATACAGCATATCTTGTTTTGTTTTTTTTCCTGCCCCGTTTCTATTTCTCATCGCTCACTTTAGTTGTAACCAATGTTCAGATCGTGTACTCTCCTCCCGCTATGTAACCGCTGCCTTCACATTTCCTGTGTTCATTTTTAATGTCTCACACAGAACTTTTCATTTCTTGAAACTGCTATGCTAAAAAAAGAAAAAACGATTATTTTTTTTAACACCTTTCTGTTGGGATGATGTGCACAGATCAGTATCAGTGGAGGAACGGTCATTTAACACCCGCGCAAAACAGAAAAATATACTGAAAAATGGTAAATGCTTCTGGTAAGTCCTGAATCTTTGGTACACAAACAGAACAAAGCTTGTTTAAGTTTATCCGAGAACTTGTGTTTGGTTGTAGATAGTTCATAACCAAATGAAAAATTCAAATTCCAGCGGCTCCATGTTGGTCTTTAAGCTGAGTGACTTACAATAGAATACAGTTTCTTTATTGTCACAGTACACATATATTATGAGATTAAAAGCCAACTCTGAAAGAGTGTAAAGAATATACTATAGGCAGAAAAAAAGGGGGGAAAGGGGAGGTAATGTGAACAGATAAATTCAACACAATCAAAATCATAACTTTTGAACCAGATTTTGCTTCCTCTCTCATGTTCCAATAGAGACGTGCACAGTTTCACACTTTATTTTTCCCCCCCCCGTGCGAGCTGAAGCTCCCCTCTTCAAAGCCCGTGTGGCTGGAGTCATTTCACGAGAGCTGCGAGCTAAAAACAAAACCGAGAGCTCCGCTTTGGCGACCACAGGCGTTGTCAGGAAGGCTTTGGGCTCCGCCCATGTGCTGCACACATCAAACACACACCCTTCACTGAAGACACCAGTGGGGCCTCTCTGGTGCTCGCAACCACGGCTTTTGCCCTTATTTGGCTATACGAGGGCCTTTAGCAAAAGGGAAAGTATAGATGGGAGCAGAGGTGTTGAGTAAAGGTCGGCTGCTCCGTTTCTTCTGCCAGATAAAGAAGGGGGAAGCCTCTCCAGCCCAGTCTGCTCTGACAGGGATAAGGTGGAGAAAGGGAAGTGAGGGGATGTGTTTAACGGGAGGGGGGGGGTGGGCATCCTCAACTGAACTGACACATTCAAACTGCTGTGCGAACGTGCTCGTGTTTCATAAGGCTGACAAAACTTCCTCTCTTTCGCAGACAAGAAAGTAGCAACAGAACCGAGAGCAGGTCAGCGTGGTCAAAGCTTTCATTTCCTTTTAAATGGCGGGCCCTGATCGGCTTGTAATGTTTTCTTTTTTTTGGTAGAATTCTTTATTTAACCCACTGGGGGACGAATAAAATGTTTCGAATTTCTTTTTTGTATTGGATTCAATATTAACATGATTTATGTGATTTGTGTGGGATTATCAGCAATAATCACAGACAATATGACAAACCAAACATATTCAAATGAGGTTTAATGGACAGTGTTCCAAAAAGACTTGTAAGAAAAGGCGTGATTAGATAGTTGAAAGAATGGCTGAATTATAGTTGAGTTTAGAACAAGGCAGCGAAGGGGTAAGCAAACAAAGACAAATTTAAACTGGATAATGGGGAGTTAACCAACGTCAAGAAACTGGTTGAGAGGCACAAGCAAAAAAAAAAAGTTGGAAACTAAGAGCTATATGTTTAAAACATTTTAGTGTCTGTGTTATTTTATGATATTTGACTCTGGGACAGGTTGATGGGTTTAAAAGCGTTTGCTGAGCGGTTGTTCTGCAGGCCTGAGTCTGGGGTCTGAGTCTGGGGTCTGAGTCTGGGGTCTGAGTCTGGGGTCTGAGTCTGAGGCCTGAGTCTGGGGTCTGAGTCTGAGTCCTGAGTCTGGGGCCTGAGTCTGAGGCCTGAGTCTGAGTCCTGAGTCTGAGGCCAGCAGGTCCATGAAGGATCAGAGCCAGTGGACGGTGGCGACACCCAGCTGTGGCCCTGCTGGACAGCAGGGAGGGGAAATGGCTGACAGCCCAGATAAGGTCTATCAGGAGAGCCAGCGTGGGCTTGGAATGGCCCGTGTGTTACTCCTCACGCCTGGAGCTGGGATCTCTTCTCTGTAAAGGTGAAGGCCCACGCTCACAGAGAGGATGAGAGCAGAACAGCCAAACGTTCACAGATCTGCAGATAAGAGGTTTAAAGGCCACAGAAAGACACATTCAAAGATTCATGGCTGCTCATTCTCCATCTTTTTAGTAACAAAGACACTTTATTAGATTCTGGGCCATCGTGATTGACCTTTTTATTCAATAAATAATCCTAAAATGTCACATTAGAAGGCCTAACAAGGCTACACACATGAAGTATGAGCATCAGTGATTTGCAGTTTGAATTGCCATTAGGTTAAATAAGAGCAGATTAATTTTGTAGTTAAAGTTTTTTTCTTTCTTTTATATAGTGTGAATAGTTTTAAGAGAGGTTTAGTGGGAAGCATAACAGAAATGAAAAAGTGTAAAAGGAATAAAATAAAATGTGCCCCAATCATTTAGCAAAGATCTACACCATCAACACATTTTTTTGCTTATTTTTATTATGCAATATTTACTGTTTGGATTATATTTTGAACAAAAATAGTACATAAACCACCGAATAAATGAGATCTGAATTACATATGAGCAGCCTATTCTCACATCTACTGTGAATGAGTCTAAAGCAGTTCTTCATTATGTCTTTAATGAATGTCTAAGTGGAGACCAGATGTCGTCACTTTGCATTTTTAGTGGCCTGAATAAAATGTTTAACCACCAAATAGTGGAAAAAGAAGAACTAGTAATTTCTTTGACAAAGAAAAAAAAAAGCTAAAAAAAAAGGCTGTTTTCTAAATAGTTTGGTTACAAAAAGCAGAGCAGTGGGACTCAACCTTTTCACAGCAGGTGTTGGATAAAGTAGTTAACTAATGTAAAAGGATCTGAGGTTGTGGGTGCACTGTGTAACTGTTTGTAAAAGTGGATGATTGAGTGGGAGAGTAAAGCTGTAAATGAATGTGAGATTCTTTCAGTCTGGGGCTGGGGCCCTGAACTGACTCTACTGGGGTGCGATTTATGTGGAAAGAAATTTACAGTTGGACATTTACATTTATGGGGGAATTGAAACTTGCCTTTCACTTTTTGAAACCAACACCCCCCCCTCCATACACGCTCATCTACCCACTATCTCTGAACCCTCCAATCCCCTTACAGACACTGACTTTATCACAGTCAGTGGGAGTTAGAAGCACCGCTCATATCTTGTTGAAAACAAAAAAATTCTAAAGTGACACGAGTTCATTTGTACTTGAATTTTTTTTTAAATTCAGTCAAGCTAGAAATACATTTCTGTGCATGTGAGCCACAGAATAATAATTTATAACCAACACACAAAACAAACTCAGTTTTGGGTGTTTTATTCTTTTTAAAAGCAATTGTGAGGATTGTAAAAGGCAACTGATCAAGTGTTAGATTATCAGGTGCACCATCTTTTCTCAAAGGAAGCATGAAACCGAGCCCAACTCCCCCTCTGTGCTCTCAGAGCTCCTCACACTCAGACGAGGCCTTCAGGACTCCCGCATAAAAATGGGTTTTGCTCATGACCATAGAAGCCATGAGCCTGGTCTGCTGTTCTACTGATCTAATTCACAAACCCAGAACCAGCTCCGCTCTAAAAGGTCAGCGCAGATAGGTTTGGTGTGCCGTAATGTCTTTCCACTTTCTTTTTTGGGAGCCTTGAATTTGAACTGAGGAATGAGCGATGCCCTCTGCGGCCGGGCAGCACACCTGAGCCGACACGGGAAAAAAAGACCCGTCTTCACTCAGCCAGAAAACTGTGGGACGTTCTGGTGTCTGAACGTTTGTGTCATCAAATCTTTCGAGCCTCGGTCGGCCTTTTTTAAAAAGGCGTCTGCAGGAGGAAAATCGAGGGCGGAAGCGCAGAAAAAGAGCGGCTGTGACTGTTAAACCTCTTCCTGTGGTTGCATCACGTGGCTGTGGAGGGTTCAAAAGGAGGCAGCTTCTTCTTCTTCTTCCACTCCTTGGACAGACGGAAGACACCTGCGAGGCCGGCGGACAATTGTGACTTAGAAAATAGAGAATAAAAGAAACAGGACAGGTAGAGTATGATGGGCCACGTTGTGACTGGAGCTATTTTGGCAGAATGATAAATATGTATTTCTTTTCAAGTATTGAAAGTTGTCTTTTTTTATAGTCTGTACTTGATTTTTTCTGTGTTAACTTGATATTTCTGTCTTAATATTTGGTCGCGAGGTCTTTTATGTTACTAGTTAATTTGCTTTTAGGTTTAAAAAACTAAATTCGGAATTGAATGCTCAAAGTCTTGCTTCCTGTAATGTGATAATGGCACAAATACTCAATCTTTTGTCTAACTTTCTGGATTTTGCCCAGTTTTTTAACCAGTAACGTCTCTTTGTAGTAATTTCTCCACTTTATATTGACAGACTTCTTAATGTGCTCTGACAGAAAAGCTTACTCATGCATGACAAAATGGCTTCCTCAAGATAGTGCTTCCTCTGCTAGTTTGCTTCTGATATTGGCCTAAAAAGCTGCTCTAAAGCAGAACAAACGAGGCTCTTTTACAAGCTTTTGTCTTAGTTTTTTTTGTTGGGTTTATGTCGTTGTTTTAGAAAAACCTTTATTAGGCCTCATCGTGCATTGCAGAAAAAGATCTGTCGGGCTGAACAATGCAAATGCATCAAGTCAAATCAGGAAGTGCACGTTATCTGGCTTCACATGTCAGCTGTGGCGTGAATGCCAGGGGATGGGGGAGGGTGTCTCTGTTCAGCTGCAGATGCAGAAGAAGAAGAGAGAAGTGGTAGAAGACCGAAGAGGAACGATGGATGTACAGTGCAGTCATCCATAAAGTAGAAAGCACTACTAAACTCCTCGCCACAGTGTAGTGTTTCCTACTTTATGGATGAGTGTACTGTTGGCTTCAGGGAGAGCAGAGGCCTCGACACGCCGCCCGCGCAGGAAGTCAGAAAAGAGGAAGCTGCTTTGGTCTCATAAGGCCACACATTACCCAGAGTGTTGAAGAAGTCTGTTCACATGGGTAGAGTGTGGCGTGAGCAAAGCGCGACTCTTTTTCTGCTTTATTGCCCCTTTATGTTTCAACTGTCCTGAAAAAAAATAAAGAGATCACGAACCCTGTACAGGATGTACTACCTGAATGCTACTCAATAAAGATGACATGTAAGAAAAGCCTCCTGTCTCTCCAGTTGTTTCCCAGGAACAAAACAAAACAACACTGTCGGTGTTTTCTGTGAAAATATACATACTTTATTCCTGTAAAAAGTTCCATAGTGAAAGAAACCATCACAATTTAAGTCAAGGAGTCCTCTGCACACTACATCTTTATACACTAGTCCTCCATCAACGCTGCTCAGACATGCAAAACAAACCGAAAACAAAATAAAGTCTGAAAAACAATATTAACAAAATTATGTACAGATGAGCTTCCAAAAAAAGGGTAATAAAAACATTCATATATTATATAAAAAAGATTGATTTTACACTGGGTTCAAACAATGAATGCAGATAAGGAAAGACAAAAAAGTGTTCTGCACTGTATGAAAATATTCCACCCTGTTCATTACAGTATGTACACCCTGCTCCTACAGCTCCTCTCCACAACACTCCACAACCCAAATATTGTAGACAAGTCTGCCTAAAATAACAAAAAAAAAAACAATGAAATGTGACAGAAACATAAATAAGGCCGAACATGGGTATAACATTGGTCTGCATGCAGTAATAAATATCCTGTAAACAACATATTAAGACTAAACAAGGTCTTTGTGTAAGGCTAAATATGATAAGCTGAGCTAAAATACTACCTAAAAGGGCCTAGGTGCTATTCAGTCATCAGAGGAGCCTCCTTAGTTGCTGTGTAGCAGGAAGAGGACTACTTGTGCATTAAAGGCCGTCAAATACAAGATCATTACAAATATTTGCTGCTCATTTCGGCAACTTTTAAGCCTCCATCCCTCGTGAGAGACAAAATAAAATCGTACAGTACTGCCTCCGTTTTGCCTCTGTCCCGGCTAGTTCACCTCTAAAGTGTCTGACAATCCGCCTTCCCCTTTGTTCTTGGCATCGTTTTGCTCCCTTTTATGCATCGCTGACGAAATAAAACTTTCAAGAAAAACCTGAAATGACACACAACAAAAAAGAAAAAAAAAAAAGAAAAAACGACCCCCACGGCTAACCCACTGAACGCCTCCCATCCCGCTGGGGAAAAACTCGGTCTCTCATAGCTTTAGTGACGAGCAAAGCACCTAACATTTTGGCATATTCTGCTGCTTTTGGACAGCCAGAGTGGACAGGCGGCCGAGCACTGAAAAGATACTATGAGTGAAAAACCTGAGAAGTTACCCAACAGCTCTGCGCCACAAAGGATGAAAGAAAGAAAGAAAAATCACTGCATGTGTTAAAAGACTGCACACCGAGGTCTAAATAAGAGAAAAGGGTTCTATGCTGGTGAAGTGGCTCTGAAACGCGGCCTGATGTATTGCTCAAGTCCTCCTTTCTACCTTTCACAAACCACTTTACAGTGTCATGGCGCACACTGTGCACCGGGCAGCTAACCGCTACACTGCATGCTAATAAAGGTGTGTGCCGTCACGCCGTCGGCCCCCACATCCACACACTGCAAGCTGAACTGCATTATGCTCCAAACGTGGAGGCACCAGAAAAGACACGTTACTAAGTGGTGGCCTGTGGCGGTACAGTGGCGCCACAAACCGACAGCGAGATGTCTGAAACTGCTCAGCTAACACACAGGAAGTGATGCTCTGGTTAGCTATGTTTTTCTGAGGTTTTGAAGAAACCCCCCCCAAAAAAACCACCCGGCGTGCGGCATTCAAATCGTGACGAATCCCGGGGGAGGACAGGGCCGGATGCTGAGCAGCAGGGAGGACGCCGCCTCGGTCCGGTCCAACAAAAGTGGAGTCACACTGGATTCGGATGAGCTCAGATTGCTCAGATTCAGTAGCTCTGAAACGTCAGTGTTCACCACAGTGAGCCCCGGAGAGCCGACCTCTAAGGTTCAGCGCCTCCGAAACCTGCTGAGCCAGAACGGCCGCGCTTCCCACTGCTCAAAACCAAGGGAACGGCGGGTAATAAAAGCGGTGAAATTCCATCATTTCCTGAATACGTACACCACCCTGCGTGGGTTCATATGTGCGGATTTCCTGCATTGTGTCTGACTTTGATTTCCCCAAAACTTTAGCTACGCTAATGACCGATCCATCTGTTCAAGGGACCAAACATTTGATCAGATTTAGGGTCACGCTGATAATCTGTGACCTGTTTTGACATGGACTGGCAAACTGAGTGATGATGAAGAAGATCAGGCGCTTCCCTGGGAGCCAACTGAACAGCCACATAAACTCCCCGCACATTCTGCGGGGCCTCTCACACAAACTCGGAGAAAACACGTCGGCCATCAGAATTCCATGCGTCGATGTCTGAAAAAGGCCTCTTTATCTGGGCCGTGGCCTCCATAAAAACTAACACACATAAATATAAACACATGTATATCTGCATTCGCAAACTGAAACCGATGACAGGGAGCATTCCTGAGCCACCCCCCCGAAACGTAGACCTAATTCTAACCCGAAAACCAAAATAAATTTGAATGTATTGACGGCTTTGTCGTTTTGAACCCACAAACACATGCTGTCAAGTTCTTACAACTGGAACAAAAAGGGCCTCAAACCACCGAATGAATTTGCTCTGAAATCCTCACGTCCCATAAGCTCTAAACGGCCGACGCCTCGTCCGCGCACCACCACATGCAAGGTGCTAACGAATAGGGCCTAAAGCCTAATACAACACATTCTGTACAAAGTCTTTCAAAAATACTCTTAAAGACAAGAAAACGCGAATGCGTTAAACAGACATGTTGATGGTGTTGCACCCACTCGGGGTGGATAGTGCATTCTTAATGGAGGTGGAGAGACTTCTGCTTCTGTGGTTTGCGTCAAATAAATAAGGTGGCACAAGTACGCAGGCCCTTAAAGCTAGTTTTACATCTGCTGTCTGTGTGGAGGCGACTCCTTGGTCTGCTGTTCAGCTGCGTTGCGATGCTGTGGCTAAATCTACTGTGCTGGAGGATTATTACAGCGCGCTTTAAGCCTCTGATGAGCCGATAACTGGGAGGGCTGCAGAGCACACATTTGGAAGTTTGCTTATTTCGACATGCGCTTCTACATGCTTTCAAGATGCTGTAAGCTGAGCTTTGATGTCTCCGGCTGCTCTGCGTGGAGCAGCTGGCGTAGCGGTACTCTAAGGCAAGTGTATACGTATCAGCTATCAGATCTGATGGCTGCTGGCCACACAGGCTAGCAGCTGGGGCTAACAGGACGGACAGGAAAAAGTGCTTTTCAACGCCACAAGCCAGCGCTCTGGATCAGACTTGTCGACTCATTCCCTCTTGCTGGAGCCCAGTTTTTTAAACAGCTTCTTGCCTTTGGCGAAAAAGCCTTTCTTCTTCTTTGCTTGCACTAAGCAGTCTGCTGGTGCTGGGCTATCCACAGGAAGCGGGGCAGGGGGCGGGCTGCAGGCCTCCACGGCAGCTGGACCTCGGGGAGGGTCAGGGACTGAAGGCCAGCTCGAAGCGGGTCCAGGTTGTGGTTGCAAACTTGTTTGCTCCGTCCTGTTGGGCTGAGGGGGCTCGCTGGGAGGGGGGGGAGCCTCTTTTACTGCCGAGGGCCCAGAAACTTGTGGCTCTGTGGATGACGTCCACGTGTCCTACAGGAGGAAAAAGCAGGTTTCAGAACAAAAATACAACTCATATCACGGTAGAATCCGAGGTTTAGGGAGGTTTCGGGTTGGCGAACTGTAGGAGAGACTAAAGTATAAAGGAGAGCATTATGCTATGCTTAATGTGGGGCTAGAATCAAAGCAAAGTGAGGCTGAAGGATGAGGTTAGAATCAGGGCTGATCGTCTTAAAAAACACTTACGATCAAGTCTCAAAGTGTACGGATCGTTTTTGCTTCTGTAAAAGTCCATGCAGGAAACAAGCAGACAGAAAAGATGCAACACCACATCATTAAAAAACAACAACCATGCATCTTAAACGGGGACAAACAGACATGGAGAATGGTTAAAAACGATGCGTAGTGGAGCAAAAAGGCGAGTGAGGACGTTCATGCTCAGTGGACGGAGAGAAGAAGCTACCTGGGATTCCTTCTTGGGTTCTGGAGCGGGCTGAGGACAGGCTGGTTCTGCCTGAGCATCATCTGGGAAGGCCTGCAGGAAGTTGGAGGGCACCAAGCCTCTGTGTCCATTCAAGTCTCCCTGATAGAAACAGATTTAAAAAAACTACATGACACACACAATCAACAACTCCCAGATGAATCTATCAACCACAGAGACAGCCTTTGCACCACCTATTCTGCTGTGTAATGACTCCAAACGACTGAGGAAGCAAACATCTTTTCTAATTCTTTGTATTTGGAAATAAACCCCCTGATGCTTATCAGGTCTTTAGATGAGCTAAATAGCTAAATGCAAACTGAGATAAAGACAGGTCCTGAGAGTCCACCATGAGCTCCAGAGTCAAATGTGAGCCAGCTGTCCCACAGCTGAAGCTGGGCTGAAACTGGCCCATCAACAGGACTGTGATCCGGAAGCTTTCAACACTTACGTAGAAGAAGCCATCTTCGTCCATGTCACCAAACACGTGGATGATGTCCCCGGCGCTGAAGGTCAGCTCAGCCTAAGCGGAGTCAGAACCGAAAGGGCCGGCCGTTAGAGCTGGGCTCTGGCAGGAACCGTGAAAATCACAGGAGGCAAAAAAAGCCCCTGCAGGCCTGACCTCTATGTCGGTGTTGGGGGAGCTCTCTCGTGGATCGTAATCGAAGATGGCGACCATCCTGCGCGCCCCTGAGGTGGGCTTGCCCCCGGTGGCGGCGGGGGCAGGGGGGGCAGGCTGGCTTGGATCTGCGGGTCACACAGAGGAGCACACGCTGTCAAATGGGCTCTGCCCTCAAAACCTCAAAGGGCCAGAGGTCTGTCGGCATGCTGGACGCACTCAGCTACATGCTAAGCTGAGGAAACGTAACACCACACATTAGAAATCTAAATAAATAAAATAAAAACGGGAGATTAGTGATGAGAGTTGCCATTTTTATATCCACAAAAGGGGTCACGGCAGCCTGAGCCGGGCTGCTGTGACAGAGCTGGCGTCTGAGGAGGGAGGAAGAGGGTCCTTAGCTCTTTATGGTGTTAGAAGGAATGGAAACAAGCATAAATCATTAGATGATTATGACACCATAAAACCTAGTGTATAACTTATGGAGCAGGGCGGCTGAAAGCTATTTTTCATTTATTTATTTGAATAGTTTCCCACCCATATAAGGAGCCCTTTTTTTTGCAATGCCTCCCTTTGTACGAATCCAGTACGGCGCCGCCTTACATGCAGCAGCTTCCTAAACTGTATCTTTCCTTTCTCTTTTTTCTGTAAAAACACACATCTCAAGAGATCTCAAATTAAGAGGAGTTATAGGCAAAATGTAGAATCGCAGAAATTGTAAGATCACTGGAAAGTCAAATTGAGAAGCTTGGACTTCTGATGATGTATTTTCCATTGAGACGTGGCTCCAGGAAAAACTACCAGCTCTCAGCTCAGCTTTAAGACTACATAAGTTGCATTTTCAGCTACAGGGACAAAAAAAAAAAAGGAGATGTAGAGTGGCAGTGAATAAAATGAATTATGATGCTGGTGAGCGCATGCTGTCCTCAGGTCCAAACTCAAAGAGTCCATCAGGTCATGCAAAGGAGGGAGCTTCGCTGGGTTAACCACAAACCTGGACTGGAGGAGCCTACGCTCTCCTCCAAGAGTGCCGCAGACTCCACTGGAAGAGATGAGGTGAGGAGACAGAGCATGAGCAACATCACCGGCCAGCACGAGAGGCGGTCTCATGATTATTGAGTCTGAAGTTTGAGTCGTGACACCGAGCACACAAAGTCACAGGTGGAGATCAGAGAGAATGGATGTTTCGACATGTAATTCATTCGGGACAGAGAAGCAGGAGAGATGAAGAAAGACCTTATTTCATATGTTTCAGCGACAAGCTGCCACATCCTGCTGCTTTATCTGCAATGCATTACATGAGTATCCAATCACATTTAAAACATACACGTGGTGTTTTAGATTTGGTAAGAATTTGGATAAAAAAATTAATAAATTAACATCCCAAACAGTTAACTTCTGAAAAAAACGTCTAGGATATGTATTCATTTACAGCAAATGAAACCATCTCTGCCCTACTCCTATTTTTTCTTTTTTCATGGGAGCTGAGTATGAAGCAGAGAGATAGAAGCGGTTTCATCTAACATGAGAGAGACAGAGAAAAGAAGCAAACCAGAGAGGAGAAGAAAGGAGAGGTGGGAAGCCGCAATCTGCAGCGAGACACACCTTTCTTGGATCGTCTCGGTTTCGGCGGTGGAACAGGGCGGCGTGGAAGCTGTGCATGAGTGCGAGTGCCTTAATGGAGTTTTAGAGACCAAAAATAATGATAATAAGGGGTAACAAAACAAAAAAAAAAAGATCAAACCAAAAAGAAAGACAGGTGTAACTCTTGAGAGAAGCAGACCAGACAAAGTTGACAATGGAAAGCCAGCGAGGAGCAATTTCAAGAGACGACAACCAGCGAGCAGCAGTGAGAACAAGTGGAAGTGAAAAGGTTAAACCATCCGCCAGTAAGTAATGCTGAGGGTCAAATGCAGGGAACAGAAGCAAACCGTTAGCTGGGATTTGCTGGTTGGCCTGATACTATTTACAGACAAAACCCTGACCTGCTTTTACATCTGTGTGAATATGCAGTGGGACTAAAAATATGAAGACGGTTTGTATTTTTCTCAATAGAAAACAGAGTGTGTAGGAAATAAAAAATCCTGAGTGATGCGATGTGTATTTTTTTTGGCTCCACTTTAATATAGATTAACAGAACTCTGCTTCCAAACAAACTGCAGTCCTACAAATCTCATCAAGAGAAGAGCTTTTGTTTTTTTTATTTGAATCCTTCCGTGACATACTGCAACAACATGCTGACATGTTTGTCAGCATGAAGAATAATGAATACTTTTGCGTCTAACTCATTTCAAAATTCTACAGTGCCTGTGCTGCTATTTTCACTTACCGCTTCCACATGAAAAGCAGTGGCTTAATGGGTAAGGCATCACAGTTATCCGTACAATGTAAAAGTTTGTGCTGACGACAGAGTACAGCTGGCACAGACTGGTCCACGCTTACCGATCTTGTCCATGGAGGCCGCTGTGGACAAGAAGCCCTGCTGCAGAAGCTGCTGCCGGGTCTCCTCGTCCTCCACCTGGATCTCAGACACCATGTTGCACGGCACATAGCCCAGACGACCACCCGACTCCCCTCGGTAAAACCCATCTGGGTCTTTATCTCCGTAAACCTGGAAAGAAGTAGAGCCGATGTGTGACACCCTCAAAACACTTTCAATACTTTTCCCCATCAAATATGTGGATTCCTTGGTGTTACTTTTGATCCCTGTCTGGTAATTATGGTCTTAAAATTCAACTCTGAGCACACTGGACCCACTCTGAAGGCTACTATAGCCAAATATTCAGATGGAAGATCATAACTCCAGTTCAAATTGTCTCAACACGAATCAAAGTAATCTATTTTAATGCTGTGACGTGAGCATCACAAAAAAGCAGCAGCTTCTCTGCTCTAAGTGGAAGTGAAATACCTGGAGAGATCAACAAATCAAACAGCAAACAGTATTGGTGCCCGTTTCCACACCTTTTCAGATTCCCATTTTTCTTTTAAATCTCTGATATTTGGCCAATACCTTAATGATCTGGCCCTCACTGAAGGGCAGCTCCTCCTCTGCAGCATCAGGATTGGGAGACATGCTGGCAGGTTCGTATGGGAAGAGGGCCACAAAGATGCGTATGTCACCGTCGCCCTTCGTCTTTGCTGATTCTCCTGTTGGCACACACAGTCAGACGGGCACATTGGCCATCTCGTTTAAGAGAATATGGCTGCACCACCTTCTTTGCCCCTGTGGAAATGGAAACAAGGACTTGTCCCGGATGAGAAGATGTTTGTAGAAACACGGCAGCATTCGCTTTACAGACGCTGCTTTGAAGTTCCTTGAACGTTGGAACTGTCTGATGACACTTTGGTTATAAAATCAGGTATTTGTTAGAGCCGAGTGGCAGTCAGGATGCGCTTCGAGCGTGTTCTGAGTTGCATTAAAATGAATTCAAGCTACTTTTACAAAAAGATCAGAGTTTGGAGAGGATTTCTAAATGTCCATTGGAGTCTATCTGGGAATCTAGAAGTGGAAGAAATCTCATGTATTATTTGAATGTGTTATTTCAGGTTTCAGAGCTAAGACTTCAGACAATTCTACATACATTTCATTACATTATTCTTAAGATTTGACCACAAAAATATTTTCAGTGTTTTATGCAAACAGTGGATGAACTTGCTATTCATTCAATATTATTAAGTGTAATAATACTCGCTAATTTCCTGCAAACTATAACTATGTTTGCAGCAGAGAAGTGAATTCTGCAGAGATGCACCTCCCCCACCGCCAACCACCAACCGAGGCGCTACTGTGAGCAGCGTTTGCCCAGCACCTGTCCTTAAAAGAGGTAATCAAGCTAAACCACTGATCCTAAGCTGCATGAGCTGTTTGACAAACGTGCACTCCTTTGTGATCTGCAGCCGAGCGCCGGAGGAGACGGCGTTTCGACCACACCAGAGACTAAACCTGAGGGGGCTTATTCACGACGAGGCCGCGGCACGACGTCAAAAGAAACAGAACATTACGAGAGGTCCTTCTCACGTCTGGCGTGCTACAGAGATCCACCCCTCGCATGAAGCACAACCTCAGCTGGGGCGGTGAACGTCGCCGCTGAGGCCTTAATGTCAGCGAGAGGCACGTTTGAAGAGCTGTAGTGAGGATTTAAGCTGAACTCAAGAGGCGTATTCTCTATCTCATTAGGGAGAATCAGCCCATCTGTGACAAGAGTCATGGGCAGACGACTTGCACACTTTCACATCCTGCCTGCTTCTGTAGTGGATAGGACAAAAAATATGCCCCGCTCTCTTCCTCGACCTGTGCATGTGCACGCTCATGCAGTGCAGAGTTAGCTGTGTGAACAGGTTTAAACTGTAGTCTGTGGTGCTATGACAAGAAAAAAGCAGAGAGGAAGAGATGTGGGGGGGGGGAATGAAGGGCTTGTAATGCTGAGTGTTTCGTCGCCGGCTAATCGAGGTTACTATTTTAATATCTGCCACTTCCTCCTATCATGACAAGCCACTTTGGGTTAAGCCGGTTCTCAGCTTAGCAAGCTCTCTCCCACTTCTCCACTGCAGCTACAGCACCTCCTTCTCGCTGACCCCCACCCCCACCCCTCCCTTAATACACAAGGTGCTAATCTGACTACCTTCATGTGAGAGCGGAGGAGGGGGAGGCTCGCACAGAAAACACAAGTGTGTCAGCATCTCCTCGCACGGTTCCACGGCAGCTTTGAGCTTACAGAACGGGGAGGCGACCGGAAAGAGCAAAGATAAAGGCAAAGGAGGAGAAAGCCTCTGACCTTTGAGTTGCCTGGACTGTGAGCACCCAGGTTTACAAGACAGCGAAGCCTGGCCCCCCCATGACGTCCCCGCCACAGCTGGAGGGATTTGGCTGGGCTCCTGTTGAACACATATGAGAGCAATCAGAGAAAATCGTGGACACAAAAAGCCCGGTGCCACCCGGGAGGATGGAAAAGGAGCAGCATATGCAACTTGAACACTCTCGGGAAGAAATAAAAAAAAAAAACTGTTTTGGTTTTAGCAGGCAGCAATTCTGGAGCACATCAGACAAGGCACTGCTTTCCAGTTTGGGCATGGAGAGTTGGAGGAATCAGGACAGTGGTAGCACAGGGGTGGTTATGAGGCGGTGTCTGCATGCATAAATTCTATCCACTATAAGACTCATCGGGGTGGATCCACAGAGCTACAGGGGACACGGGGAAGCTGGGACAACACATCCATTGCAGTTAATCGGCACTGAGCTTTACCATTGGTTCAGGTTTTGGCCCTCGGCGGAGAGGAGGTCTGCAGTGCTCCACCTGAGCTCCTTCTACCCACCACTCAGAGCTCATCTGCTCCAGCACCACCTCCCCAGGGCCGAAGTCCACCGGCTCTTCATTGTCCGTTCCGTATTCCACGTCGATCTCCATCCCACGCCCGACGGGGGACCTCAGAGTGCGCACCGTTTTGCTAACGGGGTGAGGTCTTGGCACTGTTCTGGGTAGGCCTTGGTCCGGGTTGGTCTGCGTGGCGGCAGCCATCTGACTCCTGAGCATGGCCTCCCTCCTAAGGCGGTCCCCCAGCCCTCTGAGCAGCACTTTGCTGTTGGGAGTCAGCTTGGAAGGACATCGCCTGCTGGTGGGGCCCTCGTACAAACTTGAGTTTTCATCTTCAGGATAACTGGTGGCGTCCACCGTGTCGGCGTAGTGCACCCTGTGCTGTGTCTTGGCCTTGACCTGGGCCTCTTTGGTTAGTGCTCCGGGATCCCTGTTGAGGTGGTGATGGTGAGGGGGGTTGTGCGGATGTGGGTTGCCCTGATGCTGGAGGGGGTGGTGGAGGCGCTCAGAGTCTCTGGAGTGAAGGTGGAGGGGCCCGGGCCGATGCCTGCTCCGGTGGGCTAAATGCTCCTCTTGGCTGCTGTCTTCCTCTTCCGTCACCTCAGCAATGCTGAACAGCTGCTTATTGTGGTGGGCCTGAGGGGGCAGCTTTAGGATCCTCTCAAGAACATCCTCATCACTGTCTGGTGTCTCCAGCTTGCATGACTGCAAGTGCCACGGGTCGAGTGCGCAAGAATTGGTTGGTTAGGCGAAAGAATATTTCGTTCAGGACAAACAAAGGACAATCCCGTCATGCAAAGGGGATGGAGAGAAGAGAAAGGCAAGCAAAAAAGAAAATGGTCACACATATGAACAAGGACAAAAAAAATAATAACAAAAAACAAACTTAAAATGATATCTTGTCACGACAAACTAGAAAGCAGAAGCTGCGAAATTCATGCAAATACAGGCACGTATGGAGATCCACACAAGCTTCTTCACCCTGTTTCCAACTGTGTATCCCCTGCCCTGCACTTCTCCGAAATTGTCTGAGTAAAGGTCTTCCTCCTCCTCCTCCAGGATGTCGGACAGGTCTGAGCGACTGTTGTCTGCATTGTAGTCGCTGGGAGGCTCCACAAGCCCCCTGCCATAGCTCTGTGAAAAGATACAACAGCACGTCAGCATTTCTGCCGCATACTTAACCATACAGAGCTCCTTTTATACAGAGCAACGGACGACGAACAGGCTCAGTGAAGGCAGCACTCTCTCATTTGTACAATGATTTGTGCCGATTTCTTGCCTTTAGATACTTCTGTCAGAACTCGCCGCTCTGAAACGTGACGCAAAACGTAATGACGGCTGAATTTAATGATAGATGAGCATGCATTGTGTGAAGGTCAATTTATCTGAGATAATCAGATTCTGCATGTTTGAAACTGCTCTTACAAAGTGATATAGCTCCAGAGAGCTCCAAAAAACCTTTCTGAGACAGAAATATTCTAAATATATACAAAATTTCATACACCATAAACACGGCACGTCGGTTCCAGCCGTGCTCATTTCAACAACGGGCCGTTACACAATAAGAGCTGACAGACAACAACATTATCTATCAGCAGTATCTCTGTATTCATCTGCTCAGAAAGCAGGAAACTCTGTGCTCAGAGCATTACAAAATGTACAAAAATGTGGTTGGTGGTCTAAAGCTGCCTGGGTCATGTTAGCTTTTAGGTGCCGGAATAAGAATTATAACCTATTAATACTAATTTTCTTGTATTTCTTCAAAATCAATCAGATCTCACAAATGAAGGCAAAAGAGGGCAGGATGACAATGAGTAGCTGAGCCATGCTTCAACATTGGAAAAACCTAAGCCCTGAGATAAACTGATAATAATCTGGATGGTGAATAAACATCTTCCACGTTTCGAACCTGAACTGTAGTTTGACTCGGCCTCGCTTTCAGAACATCATGATTAACTCTTTGAATGAGAGGATCAACGAGGGTCAGTGAACCGGGGCTGACCTGCTGCCTCCGACAGTAAGCCGGTTCTTGGTCCTGTCTCAGGAACTCCTCGATGGACACCAGGCGTGTATTCTCCTCCTCCTCATCCACCTCTGACCCCAGCGGGGAAGTGCTGGGGGGTCGGAGCACGTTGGTGCTCTGAGGGTTTAGGAGGTCGGCGATCGGAGCTTTGGGTGGGCTAGGGACGCGCTCGGGGGTCCCAAGCTTGGCACGGGGGTCCTCGATGAACTCTGTGATGGATGGGAAAGGGCGTATTGTTCCAGGGCTGTCAGTGTCTCTGTGTGGCTCCAACACTGGCGCCGGCGCTGCTACTGGAGATGGCTGAGCTGCTGTGTTGATGGGGGAGGTCACGTTAACCTGAAGACGAGAAGGACGGTCCATTCAATGCTTTTAACAAGAACATTAGCATTAATTAGTTAGCTGTTTGATTTTTATGTTTCAGCCTATATTTGTTGATATTCAACTAAAGCAGTATAATGTATTTTAAACATTGCTTATTCACTCATTGAGTAATTATTCAACAGGGAAAACAGATTTATAAGACAATCAATGTGTTGTGGGCTGGTATTTGAAGAGAGGTGGCCAACAGGGTATTACCACTGGAGCAAAAGATGAGGCTGCTGGTAATGTGTCCTCACACACAGCCAAGGAAGCAGCAGATGAGGGGTTGGCCCAGGCCTTCACGTACGAGGCAGATGAGAGAAAAGCTTCTGAGTGAGGGGGGTTGGCAGCAAATGTGAGGCCAGAGACACTTGTGTCTGATGGCAGAGTGTTGGGCAGCACAGAGACTTTGGCAGCTGAGTTTCCATATGACGGAGGTGGGGGCAAACTACTGGCAACTGCCGGGGCGCAGGGCAGCTGTGGCACAACTGGGGCGGCGGCTGGGCCTGCCAGGATGGCAGTCAGCTTGGAGGGCACATTGACTGGCAGCGAGTCACAGGACTCGCCGTGAGCGGACATGGTGCGGACAGTGAGCTCGTGAGCTGCCTGGAGGGACTGGATCTGAGAGGGGCCCAGCAGGGCGCTGCCCGCCGTGGGGGAAGAGACCTCCAGCACCTTCAAAACAAAAACCAAAAACCATGTCACAAACATGAAAACTGAACACCGGCTTACAAATTACAAACAAATGCATCTTTAAAAAGGTCCTTGCCTTTTTCTTGTCGACATAAATGGTGTATCCAGTGACGCGGACTCCGTTTGAGGTCCCAGATGCATCGATGGTGACAGGCAGCCAGCTGATGAGAGCAATCCCAGGAGAGGGGCCGTGCTCCAGCTGCACATCCAGAGGAGCATCAGGGGGGCCTGCAGCGATGGGGGGCATTAGACCACAGACAGCGGCAAACATAGAGAAACTATTTCTAAACTAGCACGGGATGGGGTGGTCTGCACATTGAAAATACAGTGCATATGGAGAAAGATACTCATGACACCAGGCTCAACAAAGAAAGGTGCTATCTACCACTCTAAAGGGGCATTGAGAACATTTAGAAACCATATACCTGAGTTCCCAGACTGCGGGCATGGAACTTAAGCAAATTTCAATTATTGAGTTGTTATTGAGAGAAATTAAACTCATTTAAGTGCAATAAACTGGGAGGGGATTGCAAACAAAGGTGCTTTTCCAATAGTACAGTACAGTACGGTTTGGTGCGGTCCAGCTTGCAGTTAAATTTGACTAATAAATCTTTAGTAATAACACCTCAGCTGAGGTGTTACTATGTGGCCTCTGATTGGTCAGACACCATTGCCACCTGTGGCTGCATAAACTCCACAGCTTTGCACATGACAACACATTTCCTTGATTCCTTAAGTGGTTTGAAAAGCCTGGCAGACGGTATAAAACTCAAATCATGGATAAAAGACTCGGGTGCCTGGATATGGATTGATTCTTTAGTCACCGCTGACAGGAGTTGAGTTATTATCTGTCCCAAAAGATGTTAAAACCCAGAAAGCGCCCACACAATCTTTAATCTTCAACTCTAAGTCAATAAAAATACCGAAGATGGTTTGCTAAACAGATAAAAGTGTCTGCTGAAAATACGTAATGTAATAAAGACACACAGAGGAGCAGTGCGTCTCGTTTGTGCTTCACATAGCAGGCCCAAACAAAGGGCCTGTGATGGAGGAATGGAGAAGCCATGCCGAGTCAGACCGTACTTTACTGTGGCACATTTTGTAATGGAAAGACAACGCGGTCATCAGAGTAAGTTCAGGGTTTAAAGCACAGAGGAAACTCAGAATAAATATAAAAAATGGCAAACTGACTTATTTGCATAGTTGAGATTCTTTCAGACAGTAGAAAACAAAATATGTGTATTTCTAAAAGCTGAGACAAAGTCATCAGTAGGTTTTTCCATCAGTTTGGGTCCATCCCTCCACAGGCAAACAAAAACCACATTTTTTAATTCAATGAACCCCAACGAAGCTCCGAAAATGTGTCTCTGAATGGTAAAGTCAAAATAAAAACTCCACTGAATATAAAATGTTGTATTATGGGTTTCAAACTGGTATTCTGTGGAGACTGCGACAGAACCAGGAACTTATCGTGGTTCTGTCACTAACTCAAAACCACATCAACAAACAATGAGAATCAAAATGTCTTTAAAACGAAACCAGCGGACTGTAAAATCCACATGAAGACATTTACGATTGTTTTTGATAAAAGAGGAAAACGTTGTCCTAAATGACGATGCATTAAATCCTAGGCTTGGATTTTCTTGTGCTCTGAATGATGTTAAAATGCTTCAAAAAGCTATAAAAACACTGCCACTGGAGTGAAAATGTGAGCTTCCTTCATACATCTGACAGTATTTAACAGAGAAAAACAGCACCAATGTCAACGAGAGAATAACAGAGAGGTCCTGACCTGCCATCAGTGTGCTGAAGGTGATGGTGGCGCTTCTGTGTTCCCGCCGCTCCACGGGCAGCTCCCATGGCGTGCGGTGGGGCCGCGCCTCCACTTTGACCGTGTACGGCAGGCTGGGCGAGAGGTTGTTGAGGCACAGCGAGTAGCAGCCAGCCTTCACCAGCTCACACTCCTCATCGTTCAAGGACACAATGTGCACATAGTTACTGTTGCTGGGCAGCCAGGTCAGGTTGGCAGAGGTGGCGCTGACGCTCTCCACGTGCAGCTGCGTGGGCGCCACGCACACGTCCCGGCCCACCAGCATGCTGCAGCGGAGCTGGTCCGAGAGGCCCTTCTCTGTCCGGCTCTGCACTGACACGCGGTAGGCTTTGAGGTTGATGTCCAGCCGCTCCAGCACCGCTTTGGTCTGGGCGCCGAAGGGAACGTTAAGCCGCAGCTCCTGGTCCACGTACACATTATAGCTCCACACGTTGCCCCACCCAGCCGGCACCAACGGGGGGTCCCAGCCAATGATGATACTCTTGGCAAGCTGCTTGATGAGGGTGAGTTTGCGTGGGTAAGGCACGATGTCCACTCCCACCTCCTCCAAATCCAAGTCCAGGCCGTTGGTGAGGGGGGCCGGGACAGACAAGGCCGAGGCTGAATCTGAGAGGGCCGAGGCGGGGCCGGAGGCGGCGGGCGCCTCTGTCCGTTCCGGGGCGCTGGCGCCCATGTGGAGGTGATGCTGGTGGCTGGCACTGTGCAGGCTGCTGTCTAGCAGGGAATTATGGGACGCGTCGGCCGTCTCTGGATGATGAGCGCTCATCACGTCGTCGTCGGACACGCGTTCCACAAAGTTGGAGGGGACCAGCCCTCTCCGCCCGTCCATCAGCTCACCTGGAAGGATCCCAAACAAATCCCCCGTCAGCATCCTGGACCAAAGGGTACATGAAGCTGAAAATCTGCCGGATTTACCCTCATAGAAGCCATCGTCATCCATGTCCCCGTATACATAGATGTATTCTCCAGCTGTGAGCGGCAGCTCCACCTCAGGGTTGTCATTGGGGCCGTCATAAGGATTATAGCTGTTTGAATTAAATACACTGTTACATTATTGTTCCCTCTCCCGTTGAACAAACTATGGACAAAAATGGGTCACCTGTATCTGGCAATGAAAACCTGAAGCTTGGCTGTTCCCCTGCTGGCTGTGTAAGGGGCCGGGGCCATGTCGATGTCCAACTCGTCCACCTCACTGGCAGTGTCCACCTGAGGAACAACAGCAGGACCTCTGACTTTCAGTTTCAGAAAGACCAAATCCCTTCAATCAACTGAAATTTTTACTATAAAAACACTAAATAACACTTGATTACATGCAACAAATTCAAGTCCTTATATTAATTTGCACAGTCATTTTCACAAGTTTTGAAAAACGGTGTGACTGTGACCTAGTGCATTCCTCACAGGAAACAAATCTGCTCCCATAGAAAGCACTTTATAATATCATATAAATGAGTCTGATCACTCCAATACCTGATGTGTGGTTTGAATTTAAATGGCAGCACACAGAACAATAACAGAAGTAGTGTATTTATAGTTCCCTGGGAAAACCTTTTTAAAGATAATCACCCACAACCACTACTGCACAACCCTCATAATCCACCGTGTGGAGTGGATTATCTCACTAAATATGAGCTTTGTTGAATTGAGGGGGAGACGAGCGGCTGGATGAAAAGACCACCGACCTTTCTGTCTCAGAGAGCTGGTCGCAGCAGCCGATCCTAAATGTTGATCCTGACAGAGTGAATCAGTGTGGTGGGAATAACACGGCACACGGCTGGTGTGAAGTCACACTCCCAACCGTCATCAAAATTCATCACATTCAGTTGTGAGCTCCCACATGAGACCGTAACCCCTATTCTCTCTGCCTCCCCTTCCAGAGGGATTAAATAGAATCTCAGTAATTGAATATAGAAATTTTACACCACTGATTTGAACGAAAAGCAGCTGAGTTGACGACATTTAATACCAGTGCTGCAAAATATTTATCCCGAATGTTCTTTATATAATGTGTAAAAACACATTAAATCCCCCATTTCAATAAAATCTGGGAAATAATTATTTAATCTCTCGCTGGGTTGGTTAATTAGGAAAATTTAAACCCTTATTGCACTTATATAAACACAGTAAGCGGGATGCTTCTTGAATCCGGTCACTGGGTGTGCAAACATCTAAAGGTGGATTTAGGCCTGCTTATTTTGTCAGAAACTCACTAAATCTTTTGAGTTTCTTGGCTTCTACAAACCAAAGCCTGGGATAACCCCACAGATTTTCTCTAGGGCATAGTCCTTAAGAGTGGCTTGGCCATTCGGTGTCCTAAATGTGCTGCTACTTTTTAGTTTTTTGGGTCAATGCAAAGCTGGAAAACCCCAAATGGTCAGAAAACGAGGGGCAGGGTACCTCGTGCGTGGGGCTGGATTTGTGCGGACTGAGGTGCGTGTCAGACTTGGGGGTGAGGTGAGTGGTCTCCGACTTGACGGAAGAGGAGCACGACTTGCTGACGCTGATGGCGGGCAGCTCTCGATGTTTGGTGACAGGCGAGCGCTCCACCCGGGAGAGTCCGGCGGCGTGGGGCGTGGCCCCCAGGCGCAGAGCAGCGGCCACATCTAGCAGGACAGAGAAGAAGAAGATGATCTGGGAAAACATCCAGCGCTTTCACAGGCGAGCCTGGCTCTGGGTGACCTGCGAGATCACTGTTCGACATGCGGGTGGCTCAAGGTTGAACGTGGCTGATTAAAACACTGGAGTGAACACACACACACACACACACAAAAAAAAATCAAATCCTGAGTCCATCTGTCTGAGGTCGGAGGTCACACTTCCCAGTGTCACCGTGAGTCACACCAGCGCTGCTAAGGGGCTTAGCGGGTTCCACGCTCAACAGGCATTTTGCTCTTCACCTCACGAGTGGGATGAAGTGTGATGATGAGGATTACAGACAAGCTCGGTCACCGTGCTGGACCGGGACAATGATGGCGCAGGCGGGGTGAGGGGTCAGAGCATGCCGTGCCCAACACAGACCACGAGGAACAGAAACAGAGCGTGCCGAGCGGATCGTTACCCTCAGGGCAGGGGACAGTGTCACCCCCCTCGAGACTCCAGAAGGCTATTTCACCCATATCCAATGTTCCACCTGTGCAGTCTAAAACACACGGAGAGCGTAAGAGGAAAAACGATCTGGGTACAGGTGAGGCGGAATGAGCTGAACCATGTGGATGTAAAGAGGCGGAGAATGACTTCAAATGTCCCACAAACATCTCTGTATATGTACAGAATGAGATAATGGTGAGTTTATGCTGTTTTTTAAAGGAGACGAACTGATGTCAACACAACTTTAAATTGTGATAAAAACAGTAAATTTGAGGAAAGTGGATTTTTAGTTTTTTCAAGCCAAGTCCTGGGTCACGTGGTGGTAGTTCCCTGATGTCACCAAAAGCAGGCGCAAGTGGAAGTTAAACATGGATATAGAAGTTAGTTCAGTCCTTTTCCATTTCTGAAAGCAGTGTGTTTAGTCCATGCTGTAACTTCAACATCATGAACAAAAACATCGCACTGCACACCAACAGGTGTTTGCTGGATTGCACAGGCAATATTACAATGTAATTACAGATATTTAGAGTGGCTCATCATTTCTGTAGGATTCAGACAGCAGGAGTCTCATCAAACAGTGAGAATATTTATTTTCCTTTTCTGTTTGTCCATGACCTTAATGGAAAACGTCACAGGGGTGAGTTAAGATGGCTGGAAACAAACTTACAGTTTCAAACAGCAAATTTAACAAAAAGTACTATTGATACATTATCTGTAACAGTCTTATCACATTGCTACATAAAAGGCCATTTCTTAGATTACTTTATACTAATGTTTGGTACCTGAAATATGAAACAAATATGTTGCCCCAACCCTGAGAGTTGCTATAAAAGTTACAGACGTAATGAATCCTTTCCTTCCCTTTCATAAAGACTGGTGTGTCCTCAGCTTAAGGAAATCACAGGAACTGCTTTTCTTCATTTTGAATTAAATTCCAAAAGCACTCATTATATCTGGTGCTGAAGTACGTTGGGGTTATTCAACCAGCAGATCAGGACAGAGAGGACCGCTGGCTGTCCCATAGTAAGGAAAACCCACCAATCTCATCTCTGCTTGTTGCTGTCTCAGTATTACAGCCTCCACGGACGGCTGAGGTTTGTGTCATAGTACCCGAGGGCAGCACTCAGTGAGAATGAGTGAGTGCACCTGGATGTGGACTTCCCATCATTGCTGGTCCCTGCTGATGAATACCAGAAACTACCGCAAGGCCATTTGACGCGTGGCTGAATGCAAATCAAAGACTTTCACATTATACTCATAAGTCAGATGTCAGCAGGTGTTAACTGACATTTAGGCACAATTCAACTAACACAAGACAGATTTCCCCTCTTTTTTCATTAGTGGAGACTCTCAGCCTCGCTCAGTATTTACAATTTGTGACCATACAGACAAATTTCAGGCACACACACGTATCACGTGTTATCCACCAGGTCCTTAATACCTACAAAAAAAACAACAACCCTGAAAGTGAACAGAAATCTCCCCCAGTGGCTCACCTCGGTCCGTCGCCAGGCCCACGCCATTGGTCAGAACGGAGAGGTTGGGATTGTTGAGGAGGCCGGAGCTGGCCAGGTCCACTTTCGAGGCCTGCAGTCGAAACTTTTCCAACTCTTGAGACAGCAAGCCGAACTGTTCACTCTGGCTGCGACATTTCTCCTCCAGCTCTCGTACTTTGGACTATTTGAAGCCAACAAGGAAAGCAGACTTTGAAAAAAATCCACATCAAAGGGCAACCAACTGGAAAAGTCCACCTTTAACACCTTAAACTAAGAGCTCATTGATTCTTGATTTCTTTCAGATTTCTGAAGTCTATTTGGAGACTGTGTTAAGTCTGTAAGTCTTTTGGATTCCTTTGCACCCCCTTCTGGAAAGGGCTGTGTGCTTTAAGGTGGATTTTTCCGTAAAATAGTCATGTGGGGAATCTAAATCAGAAAAGAGAGCAAAGGTAACTGCATTCATGTGTCACTGCCATGCAGAAACCCTTTTGGTTTCAAAACTGTTATGAATTTGAATGTTTTCAACACATTCAATTTCACAGAATGTCCAACAGATCTTTAAATTCATGGAAAAGACACAAAAAAACAGAGAAAACAAACATCGATCTATAGGAAAATGTTACTTTTTAACGTCAGGTTTCTGCACGACACTGTCAAGAGAAACATCAGACTCCAAACACAACAGACACACAAGAAGATTTCAGGGGGGAAGAGAAGAGGTCAGTTTAGAGGGTTGGTGTCCAATTGAGTTATAAGGAGGGAAAACGAGCCAACTATTTGTCAGGCAACTTCTCAGCCTCTCTTTAACAAAACCAGCAAACAGCGTTGTTATTTGCCCAAACTCTGCAGAGGTTGGTCGCAGCTCGACTCAGCTTCTATACGTGGCTGATTTAACTTCCGGCTGTGGTGGGAGTTTCCTGGCAGGCTGGTCTAACAAAAGCCTCTGCACGAAACTGTCTGAACAACATTTCCTGTCAGCGCTCACCTACGTAAAGCCCAGCGCGCAGACACGCTGAAACGCTGTGTGTGAACTCACTCGACTAAGATGAGTTGAGCGCATCAAACAAGATTAAAAAATATGATAAACCTGGTTGCGCAGCATGATCACTTTGTCACAGATCTCTTATCTTCCTTCATGTGACTGACCTGATTTACACACACTATTGACGCTAACACTGTTCTACGATGGGCTCTGTCTGGGGGATTTTTGTCCTACATGTAAAACGTTAAAGGAATCATGGGTTCAATGCGGAGGGCTAAAACTGCATCTCTCTGTATGAACTAGAGGGTGTTTAAGGACTGGAAGGGGAAATTATTTAACCTAGGGAGTTACGAAGTACCTGCATGCAGTCCAGTGTGCTCTGGTTAGCCAAAAGATAACACAAAAGACAAATGAGAACATGCTTGTGAAACAAAGATGTTTGGAGATATCAAATAGTGGAATAAAGCAGATAGGCAGGAGTCTGAGTCCAGGTCAGAACGTCTCTTGGCCCTCGACAGCCGACGCACACGCTCATCCTCATCTTCACAAGAGTGAGAACAAGGCTGTGCTGCAACTGAGCTCTAAAGAGGGACAAAGACTTTCTGCGGTGATGCTTTGGGTTTAAAAAAGGAGACAGAAAGCGAGAGAAACAAAAGCCAGGAGGAAGGAAACGAGCCGTTTTTTTTTTAAAAACAGGAGCAACTATACTCTACCAGCTCCTTCTGCAACACAAGCTGGGTCAACTCCTAAAATAAAATACACACACACTTGTTTAGGGCACAGACCCTCGTGACAGCATTTACTGTGGGAAATGAGGAGTTCTGAGACATTTTGTTTTACGTTTTGCTGCCAGCAATGTAGTGATTTTAACGCCCGGCTGTTTTTATTCTTTTTTCAAACTGATTTGCCAATAAGGCAGATGGGGATTTCAACTCCTACTCTGAATTCAAAGTGCTTTAGGCTCGCACTGCGAGCACGAATGAAAGTCACCAGGCGGCAGAGAAGCCATCTGTTCAAACGGTTTTTCAGATCGAGTCGTGCTGCAAATGTACAAGCGCTCGCAGCTTCTGAGCCAGGTGTTTAGGTGAAAAGCAGAGAGCCTGCTGCCGCAAAGAAGAACGACCAAAGGCAGCCGTAACGCAACATCTTTAGCCAAACGAGAGCGGGGGAAGAACTCAACATTATTTGCTCTCCCTGCTCGGTGTCAGAAGATAAGTGTAATTTCTGTGAAGCTGTGGGGTCCTCTCCTTCATGTGACACCACTAAACTATATCAGCTTTCCTTTTTATTGTTTAAAGACCACGTGTCAGGGATTTACGCTCAGATAATGAACGCCCAGCATGATCTAAAATGATTCCGATGTGCTTTTTGTCACAGTGGCGTAACAAAAACTCACCTCCAACATCTGAACCACTCCTTCATGCTCCCTCTTGGCGAATAACTGAGCCTGATGATTGAGGAGACATTAAAAAGCCGTTGTAATTTTCATTGTTTGCTCATAAAAATGTAACTCAGTGAGCTACTGGCACGACTTTACTGGTGCCCAAAGGTTGCCTCCTGCTGGACAAACCACTCCAATTGCCTTGAAACTGAGCAGCGCTACGATTGTGAGTCTCTTACCCGCTGTAACCGCTTGATCTCATCCTGTTTGAACTTAAGGATAGCCAGTGCCTGCTCATGCTCCAATTCCAGCTGCTGCCTTCGCTCGGCGACCTCTCGCATATGCTGTCCAGAGAGAGAGAGAGAGAGAGAGAGAGAAAAAAGGCGTCCAGGAAAAAGTTTGGCTTCCTGAGGATTTTGAACCACCAAAAGACTCCAGTGGTACCTTTAGGACCTGCTCTAGGTTCTCCAGTTTGGCACGGAGTCTCTGGTTCTCCTCGAGAACTGAATTGTGTTGAGCGGTCACTTCAGAGAGATCTTCCCTCAGCTCCTCATTCTCAGCCCGAGTCTGCGACACAGGAGCCTGTTATCGGACTGACCGCTAAAAGTAACAGAGGGGTCTGGGCAGGGGTGGGGGACACTGACCTGGTCGAGCAGCTGTGCCTTCCTCCTGAGGAGATCTGCCTCCTCCTTTAGTTGCTCATTTTTCCCTCGCTCATCCTTAAGCTGGCTCTCCTGTTGCAAACACATTCGTCAGGCCTCAGATCCACAACTCAAGAGTCCAGAATTTCAGGAGGTGCTGGCTCACAGCGGTCGCTTACCAAATCCAGACATCTCTTCTGTCGCTTCTTTACTTCATGCTCAAGATTTTCACATTCTTTTCTCTTCTTACTTAGCTCACATTCCTGGACCAATGACAAAGACACTTGTCATTCTACTTCATCAAGAAAGACAAACTAAAACTGCGCATAAAAACAAGGTAATTTTTTGTTACAAATATTACAATTATGTAATACACTTTTCCCATTCCCAGTTTGTACTTAGACACCATTTTAACCTCTGACACTACAGTGCTGAGGCATTACAAAGCTTAGCATCCACTAATTATTCTAAATGCAGCTTACATGCTGCAGGAGCAGCACAAGAGAAATCAGCTTATTTCAGCATGACCACAGGACCTTAATAAAGCATTACCACAGTGACCGTGTGAGGGGAAGCCACGGAACAGGCCGGCTAATTGCGGACCACCAGCAGCTGACTGGAGGAGGGGGTGTGCTCTCACCAGGGAAGACACAGCAGCATAATGATGATAATCAAACTGCATCTGTGGGTTGTTCTGTTTGATAGTGTATCAGAGAGCCCTAACAATGAGCATGTGCTGAGAATGTGCTGCTCGACAGCCCTGCGGCTCATGGAGTAAATCCAACACTGTCCAGACAGTGTACAGAAGACCTCGTTTGAGTTTTCCAAATGCTTCCATAGTGTGTCCACCTGTTCACCTTTGGGAATCATAATAAAGAAAACCTATATCTACATCAATCCTTACAGCGGTAATTATACATGTAGAGTAAAAAGCAAACTGTAGAACAGATTGAAACAGTTTACAATCTTGGGAAGCATCAGTGATGACCAGATAAAGTTTTCTTTAACTATTGAGGCCTTATATTAAATAGTTTAAATTGTTTTTAATCAGAAATACAATGTTTCACATGTTGGAGAACTCAGCAATTTTTTTCATTTTTTCACCATATCAGTAACCATATTTGATGAAGGGGAATGTTTCCAATGGGAAGGTGTTGTGTGGCATCTCAAAGAAGACCAGAAGTGCCACAATCAGATATACAAAATATCTCTGAGTTCAGAAGTTATAACCCCAGAAATTTGCAACAACCACTGGGAACATTGTTGTTGCAGCTTTTTGACAATAAGCCGTTCCGTTCCTAAACTGTAAAACACAGCGATGACAACATGTTATTGGGGGATTTTCTCTGAGGGCCATGAGGAGTCAAAGGGTCCTGGTTGTGTTTCCTTATGTTGTCAGCATCTTGGCAAAAAGTATTACTTGGAAAACACAACATTCAACTGGGACAAGCGATGTACGACTGTGAGAGGACAGGGCATCCGGCACAGAGGGAAGAGGCAACCTTCAGGTTAAATGGATTACTTTGAGTTTGAATTAAGTCAGTTCTTCACATCCCACCAAGTTGTAACTCCATGAGGAACGTGTTAGCACTTCAGACTCTTTTCCTCACAGATTGAAAGCACTGCATACGGACAGAGGCCAATCACAACGGTCCACTTTCTGGCAGACACATTGATCACAAGACATACATTTTTCATACATTCAGTGAAAGTCACATAGAGATAAGCGATATTGTTTATAATGGAGAATAAAAGAAGAAAACCAAAGAAAAAGCTTGCCAAGCTTATAGGGTCATTCTCATTAAAATATTCTATCTGCCAGAGCCTCATTTTCCCCAAATGATTCATTAAAAATGCACTCAGCAGATCAGGGCATCACCAGGTTCTTTTGATCCCATGTAGAATAGAGCTCTAGAAAGTGTAAATTGTTTGAGCTTTGCCAGAAAAGCGCACACACAGCACTGTCTGCTGTGAGTGCATTGAGGGGAGATTAGTCATGATACTGATGAGTATAAATCTTTCCTGACAGATTGATGTCCACACAGCGGGCAGCTTGACCAACACATTCTGCTCCAGCAGCTTCAGCTCATAATCAAAAATATTTGTCTGAATTATTTTAGCTTACAGTGTTACTGTCCTTTTTATTCTCTGCAGAAAAAGTAACGATTAGCTTTGGGTAAAGCTTTGGGTAGACTCTGTGATTTATTTAACAGTTACAAGTTCAAAATGGCCACTAAAACCTTTCTTTCACCCTCTGAAGAATTTAGAAGTATTAAAAAAAAACCTTTGAGATGTTAAACCTTTAGATTTTTAGAAAAAATGCATATATAATGTTACTGTGCCTGTAAAATGCTGATGTCCCGCGGGGGGGGGGGGGCAGGCATATGTTGCTGCTTCTAATGAGTTAAACCTACAGGGAGACTGAGTGATGGTGATGTGCTGCTCGTCTGTATCCGACAGAGCTCATCCCAGCATTACATAACAAATGTGACTGTTGTCTCTCTGACAGCTCCGTTACAGCTCACATATTCACATTAAAAGCAAACAGGACTGCTAAGCCAGCTCGCTGCTAGTTGGCAAAATATGTCGTTAATGCAGCACAGCGTTTGCGTCTGGAGGACTAATTTGAAAGCCACAGCAGGTCTGTTTGGTAAACCTCAGCTTTATGAGCCCTCTAATATCAGCTCAGATTCCAAAACACTATCTGATAACGTACAGAAAGCAAAGCAATGTGGAATGGCTGCTGTTGGCCTTCGCCTCCGAAGCCGAGTTCTCACCAGAGACTGTAGGTGCTGCTCCTCTGTGTGCTCCTCCTGATGGGAGGTGGTCGGGCTAAGGCCCGGCGGGGGCGTCACTCGCAGCCACGACTCCTCCTCCTCTGCGGGAGTCTTCTCACACCTGGACGGAGCTTCATCTAATGCCACACACGGGGTTTCTCCTGCAACCTGGCGGAGGTTAGATCAGTCAGTCAGTCAGTCAGTCCGATGAACCATCTCCAGGTCACACAAACAAAAACTTAAAGTTAAAGAGGTAAACCTCTTCTGCTCTTAACACTGCACCCCAATCTGTAAGGGAGGGATTAGAGGTGGACCTCCTTCCAAGAGGTCCATCCGCAATCAAAGAATAATCCAGGGGGATTCCCTCGACTGTAACCCACTGACAGGAAGACTGTCCTCTCTGATTAGGCTGGATACGTCACAGTAGGTGTCTTGTCTTAAACAATTAATCTCAACGAATCATCTTTATAAACTACAGGGTCTGGCCCTCTGAAATCCAGGTAGAGGTGGTGGGGGGGCGCACAAGCTGATATTGGTTAAGGGTTAAGAATCGGGAATCAGTATCTAATTTTAGAGCAAACCTACTAATACTCGAAGTAAAACTGTGCTAGTGCAGCCAAGGCCATGACCCAATAACAAGATCAAAGGCGCTCTGCCACGTGCGGCAAGGGGGGGTCTATCCTTTACACTCTCCTTTGTTTGATACCAGCATGTCTCCCTGAGCACCAGATGCTTTAGCCCTGGTGATTTCTCAGGAGATGAGAAGAACAGGGTATGGAGAAATTCATTTTGCTCTCTACGGAAGGGATCCTTGCATGAGGGTCGTTCACGCCACAGCTTTATCTAATGAGAAATATCAATCCAACTCCAGGAGGAGTTCTACTTGATACAAGTAACCACAGAATCACCTCCCAAGCGGAACTGAACACCCAAGTTTTAGTTAAAAAAACAAAACAGTCCATGGCTTGATCTGAAGCAAGAATGGTCACTTTAAGAAGTGAGCAAAACCTCATAAAGTCTTCATGGCTATGCATCAATACACTTACTTAAAAGGACGTGAACTGATGTTGGAAACATAAAGGTAATACATGTTTATTTGTGCTGAGTGACTTGTCTTTTCACGCCTGTACCTACTTTAATCAGCCCGGAAGGTTGTGGAAGACTAAACATGAGCTCGATAACTCATTACACGGTAAACGAAAACAGTGACCCGTTCGGTGAAGTTAAGTGCGGCTGTCCCAGGTTTATCTACTGGATGTAAGACCAGATGGCAGAGGTGCTGACGAAAGGCTAGCAGGAGGCACCGCAGTAATTCCTTTGGCTCCTGGACAAGAACTTTGCAAAGGAGGGAAGCTATTTACAAACTAGCTGCTGATTTTTCTTTTTTTAATCTTATTTTAGGCTTTTTTTCCAGCCCGGAGTCCTTGTGGTGGTCATCACCGATCCTGTCACGTCACAAGTGTAGGACTGCCAGGTGATCCCTGCACCCTGGCATAATTCCCACCTTTGTATTTGGTCGGACATGGTTAAACCAGTCAATCCGAAGTGATTTGTAATTAGCTTGCAGCACTTCATACTGTACACATTGAGTGGGCTGGCTTAAGCGTTTGTGGGTTTTACTCCTTCAATCTGGAAGGGGCAGATGCACCAGCAGCACACTGAGAGCACCTGAACTTTTCATAGACATGTTCAGAGCCATCGAATGACCGTCTCATCCAAAACGGGCCCCTCTCTTCACATTCCTGTCCACAGCTGTTTTCTTGTAAAAATACACAAATATCCGTTCAAACTACCTTAAAAGAGCAGCTGTTTTTTTTTTCTAAAGGGAGTGTTAAAGCTCAAAATGATGAGCTCACAGCAGATCTAATCAGGGTTAAGGCAGCATGTGATATAATTCTGACATGGTTTTGACAAATGGACCCAGAGGGTGGAATATTACATAATGTCTCTTTTATACAATGTTGTGAGGAATAAGGGGCAGTCACAGAGAGCATCGGAGCAAAGCTGAAGCTATTATAAATCATTTTAAAGGTTTATGTGCCAAGCCATTGACCTCGCACAAAATGCTGTGACCTCACAGGCTGTGCAGTTTTTAGAGATTGTGAGTGGACAAAGCTGCAAGTTTAGTTTTTCTTTGTCATATGGAAGAGCTGTCTGCAAATCTTTGCTAAATCAGGAAACTAAAAGTTGTCTTTGTGCCACGTATGGGGCAAGTTCCTCACGGCATTGTCTAAAAACAGCCAGGCAGAGTCGAAATACCTCCAGTGACAGCAGGTAAAGTCTGGGTGTTCCCACTTCACAGTACGGAACACCATTAGGATTCACCCAAGGAAGTACCATTATCCATTATTAGTGTTTGATGGTAGATTTGGTAGCAGATTGATAATTTTCAATACAGTAATAGAGCAGCTTCGAATCTTTTTTAGGGAGGCCAACAAAAAAACATTGTATATCAAAAGCTATTCTGCCCAAAAAGGAAAGGACCGACCGGTTAATTTAGTTAGCCTTTCAAAGAGAGGCTAAAACAGATACTAAATACTAATCTGTGATTTTGTCAGTACTTTCAAAAGTGTTGTTTGGAATGAGTTGATGGCCTTTTCACTGTTGATAGGTAGTTTTCGGTCAGTACAAAACAAAGAAGGCAGAGCTGCACTGAGGTGAAGAAAGACAGGATGCAAAAGGAAGGGATTTTTCAAAAGGTGATGTGTCAGGTGTGTTTTTAGAGATAAATTGAAGGAAAACGAATCCAGAAGAAAGAAAAAAGAATCCAGCTTCAGAGACAAAGTGTGTAATGACTGGTTTGATTTTTTGTCGTTAATAGATAAATATTATATGCGAAATATCAGCCAACCCTATTATATGTCATAGATTCAGTTTTAGTGGTCTAATGACCAACTTTACGCAAGTTAAATCTAACAAAAACTTCAATGTCTGGTGGATTCTATCTAAAACACGTCTACTGGACACATAAATTCTTCCTGCTGAGTCAACAGGTCGCCCACCTTTCTGCCAGCAGGTTACATTGTGAGGTATTCTGTCCTCTAAAAATGAGCAAGATCCACTTTTCTTCTGCATAAAAATGGAAATACTTTCATAAAGATGTTTGAAAATAGTCTGATTATGTAGCTGCATTTGGCTCATGGGTTAAATCCTAAAGATCTTTAACCCTCATTCAAAAAACTTAGAAGGAATCCATAAAATCAGCATGTTGTAAAGGGTATTGTAATATTCCTAGCAGAGTGGGAGGTGCCCTAACAAGCCCCTACTCTCTGTCCTCATGCGGACGCCACAGCAGGTGTCACACAGGATGTTTCTCCCTGTGATGCTCTCCTGCTTTGCACCAGGAAGTGCAAAAGGTGCTCTTTTTGCACTGGTTTGGTCCACGTACACTGAGGGATCTAGTACACCCGGGGCCCATGCGTACTAAAGCAGTGTCAGATCCCATTCAGCAGGCCCTGAATGCCATAAGCACATTGGTGTAATCCCTGCAGACTACTGAAACGGGTAACTGGATCACTTCTTTTAAAAGCACCTTAATGGATTGGCCTGGCCGTTGATTTTCTTTTTTAATGCCCAGCATATCGATGCCCACCGACGCAGCGCCCTACCACGTTGTCACTAAGTCTGACGGTCTACATTCTGCATCTGGGAGCTCCAAAACATGACAGTTACAAAACCGGGTTTCTGACAGGCTGCCCTTGACTAGGCCTCGTGCTAGTCCTGCCTTTAAAACTGGGGGAAAAGTGGCAGTCCATCATAGATCAGGGTGGGATTCACACAGGATTTACTGAAATGAATATATATATAAAAAACAAACAACAGCTATGAGACTTACAAGAAAAATCCTTTTAGCTGCAAGTCAAACTGTGATGCTAAGATGCTGGTGCCTGTAACATTGTATTAATCTTTAACACTAAGCTGGTGATTTTAATATCAAACACAAGAGCAGCATCCCCTACTTTGAGCCAACTCCCTCACACTCCCGATTTGACGTGACACTGATTGTTTCTTCGTCTTTCCCCCCCCTCCCCAGCCCTGCACGGTATCCCTTTCAAGCCAAACAGTCACATATGAGGTTAGCCAAAGAGACGCACACTGAGCAGCTGCGACCCACCCGCAACACAACCAAAATCACAAGATGACCTACCCCTTTAGTGTGATCTGTGGCAACGTCAAGGCTTCCCTTGGCCTGCTAGTTATCCAGAGCAGGGCGAGATAGAAAAGTCTTTACTGCGGCTGTAGTCTTACCTACCACCCAAAACCCTCTCACCGCTGCTACAGCAACAGAGAGCGGATTACTGGACTGTACCATTCTGTTGTTAGAGGGGATTAGAGTTCACACAACATGGCCCCTTTCTCGGTGTGCGCGTGGCACTGCGAGTGCGTGTGTGCGTCCCACAGATGAGAGATTACCACAATCGGCATTCTCATTTGAGCCTCACAGGCAGAGCATTTACTTCACGGTCAGTGGAGAATATTACAAAATCAATATCCAGGCAGAAAATGTGGCCTTTCCTGTGGTGGGGATGCATCGGATTTTCTCCTCACGCAGAGGCCGGCAGCCTCCGACACATGACAGTTTACAATTAAAACCAGGAGCCGCGCCGCATTATGCAACCGAATTCACCGATTTTTAGAGAGGCGTTTTATTTCTGCTCTCAGGAAAGATACCAGAGAAGCGGAGCAGATCAGAAGATCAGCATTAAATGCAGAGAGGATCAGAGGGTATGACTTTGGTGGCTTTGATCAGGCAAAAGTTAAAGACAGGGAATCGCCTCATTATGGCTTGTGGCAGATTAGTATTGAGTCCAACCACAAGCCATTACATAACACTGTAAACGGCATCCATGCCAATGTAAACATACATTAGGTTAGGGAAGAAGACAAAAAAAGAAAAAAGAAAAACGAGGGTTGTATTTTACATTTCCAAAAATATACTTAATCCCAACTGTGTTGTAGTACCAGCAACACACATGTTCAATGTACAAATGTTTAATGTACATGATGTGCATGAGCTACTCTGTGTAATCCCATAATTTCTGTCTAAAATCACAGCTGATCTGATGGAAAATTTACCGGACATGCTCATGGCTTACATGCCTCTGTTGAAGATGTTCTCAGATCAGCACAGATCAGTCTCAAATTCGTTTGGAAAAGGGGGGGTGGGGGGCTTTACCTTCTCCTGCCCCTTCTCTTTGGCATTCTCCCCACACTTCTCCGTAGTGCTGCGGTCGGGGCTGTGGTTGGGCTGCGCTCTGGACGAGGTGACGGACAGCTGCCTCTGGAGCCGCAGCACCTCCTTCTGAGACTCCCGGAGAAGGTTTTCAAATTCCACTCTGCAGCTCTGGAGAGGGGAGCCCTGCACAGACACGAGGCAAAGACGTCCAACTTTCAGCGTTGTTTAGTATAAATAAAATATTAAATGATTATCTGTGTCAACTGTGGACCTTCTAGCTGATTTTACAATGAGAATGACCTCCTTTAAACCCTGAGTGCCTCACAGTTGAAACATGCAGCAACATCGTTTCTGTTTTCGGGGTGAAGCACGAGTTTGCATGTTCTCCCTGTGTCTGTGTGGGTTCTCTCCCACAGTCCAAAACATGTTAGTGTGTCACACTAACTGGAGACCTTAAAGAGCCTGTATGAGTGAATGCGTGTGTGCAATGCTGTCCTTCTCTGTGTGGATGGATAATTCTGTTTAATGGGTACCAAAAACTTTAAACCCGACAGATGTTCACATTGAGGATATTCAGCTCAGGTAATTAAAAAGAGGCACTCAGAAAAAGAGCCTCTTCTAGCAGTGTCATCTATCCAGACATCAGCAGTGACGCAGCCTTGGTAATACAGGCTTAGGAGGCTGGATGAGCAGGACCCACAGTGTCCAGCAGAGGGCAAGCAAGTGGCATAAAGAGCCCCTGGCATAGGATGAGCTCCATCCAACAAGTCACTGTGGATCAGTCTGCAGTGGTCAGAAAGGAGCTCTGGTACCTTTGTGGTGCCCAGGCGCGCCTCCAGCTCCCTGCACTCCTGCTGCAGGGCAGCGATCTCCTTGTCTTTGGACAGCAGCGCATCGGCGTGCTGGGCCAGATCACGAGCTCGCTGACGGGCAAAGGCTCTCTTGTACTGTTCCACAGACCCCGGCCTCAGCAGTGACGGGGAATTCGCCTGGAAAGAAACAATAGAGATGATTTCAAACGAGAGCCTTTTTTAATAATCTATTCTGGACAAGTGAAAGACAAAGGATGACTAAGAGGTTCAAATGTGACAAATGATTTTTTTTTAAAACAGACCCTACTGAATATTTTAGCCCTTTCCCACGATTCATGCCCGCAGAAGCTAACTGGTCAGCAAGAATCCAGCGTTAGCATCAGGACGGTAAAGCTGAGCTGTTCCATGCTGATCGACCAGCTCTGTCAGAACGGTGACAGCGGGTTTAATCAGAGATCAGCCAGGAGTCGCTGCAACACGCTCAGCCCAAATGCAGGTGAAAACAGTCCAGGTGCTTAGAAAGTATTGTGGATCTAATCAGGCATCCAGATCAGGGCACGAAGGATTCAGAAATTAATCTCAAAGGTAAAAAATGCCCCCCTTCATGTTAAATGATGAAAAGCATTTCCCTGAAGCCTGACTGTAGTTTTTTCATCACAAGGGGGACATTTCCAACTGGCCACATGCAGTTTGTATGTTTTACTGATTAAAAGTAACTGGAAGTTCATAATGAAAAAAGAATACAGAAAAGATGCCGCAATAACCGTGATATATCCAAGTATTTTATGGGGGATTTAAATGTTCTAATCTTGAACACACTGTTTCATTCATGCAGCCATGATTTATTCATCTCTAGAATGTAAAATGGATAAATAAAAACTGCTTTTTGGCTTTAATGGTAACACTTTATGTTTTACCATGAGGATCCCAGCCACAGCACTCTCCTATTGCTTTCCCTATTCGTGATCGGACATTGGTTTGTGCTCAGAACAACACACGTCCACAGATTTCTGAGATATACCACTCTGAGGTTGGCCTCCTGTAGTTTCCGAGCCCTCTCTTCCAGCCTCTTAGCGAGGACAGCCAGCTCGGTGTTCTTTCTCCTCAACCGTCTGACCTTCTCCTCGGTCTCAGGAGCACTGCTCTTCCGCTAAACAAATGGAACAGAGTTCTCATCATCAGACAGTGCCTGAGGCAGCACAGCAATGCCCAAAAAAGGTTAGTGGAGGCAGTTTTTTCATTGGTTCTTATTAGTAGTCTGAACAGAGGACATCTAGCTTCAAATATTCTGTGTGTACCACCGGGCATACAGAAGATATACGAGGGTGATGTTTAGCAGCTTATACAGTGAATAAATGCCACTAAAAGAGGAAACGGGGAGTTTAAACATCTTTTTATGAAGCCTTCAGTGCACTTGGCCTATTTTCCACAAAGCTTTTCATCAAGGGTACACACAGAGTTATTTTTAGTCTCACCAGCAGGCCGTTCTCCTCCCTCAGTGTGGTGCACGTCTTCTCCAGCTCGTCGAGGGCTCGTAGGAGTTCTGAGTTCTGACGCACCAGAAACCCATAATCTGTGCCATTCTGGGGAGAGAGAGAAAAAAAAGGGTTTAAAAAAGTCTCAAGTTTGTCAACCGTGAGAGTATCATCGTTTAGTTTTTGTGATGGTCGGTATACAAAGCGTCTGGTTCGATTTCCGTTACAGGAAGCGTTCTCTGCTGTGGGCCAATGTTTACAAAGCGCTGTCTAATGGCCCCTGACGGATGACAGCCCTCTGAATGGACTTTTCTTTAGACCTATTCATTTAGTCTACAAATGCGACTGAATGTCTATTGTAACATGTCAAGCCAGCAGAGAGCTGGTGGGAGAGCTCCTGTCTCACACGGCATCACGGCACAGATAATAAGAGATGAACACTGTATCCAACAGGACACACTCATCTACTTCATCTGTAAATGTTTTCTACAAATGGAAACATTCATATGCATGCTTTATTCCCTGAAAGTATTCTGCATAAAAAAAACAATGACACTGGTCTGATATGATTTTTAAGCCTGTGAATCTCTCTTAGACTTTAAGTCCGTTTACAGAAAGCTGCTAATGCATTTTTTTATTTTTACTAGAAAGCTTAAAATAGAACATAAAAAGGCAACAGACTATATTGTTAAATTGTTCCCAATGTAGTCTCTTAATGTATGGTTGTATTTACTGGCTATGACTTTAAATAGATCACAAGTCAAAGATGTGGGTAGTAATCAGGCTTCAGTTTAGGTGAATGTCACATTGAAAATGGAATGAATCACATTCTTTTTTAAAGGTACTGACAAAATTGGTTATTTGATTTTTTTATTTTCTCAGGTTCTACTAATTCTAAGAGCTAATTTTTCAGAGATTTAAATATGCTTTATTCTATGTGTGTGACTCCAGTGAGCAGCCCCAATGATACACCCACCCACGCTCACCGCCCACTTTCAAGCCCAGGCAGAAAATAACTGTGGTCAGGTAGTCAGCAAACACACGGGAAAATATGCAAACGCCACAGAGTACGAATCCTGCCTCACCTCCACATTGTTTTACATAATGATGCACAGACAAAAACTGCACACAAAAGGTGTAGGATCTTCCAAAAGGCACCTGAAGCAGCACTTCATTATCAGCTCCTTCGTTTTGCCTGTGATGTGTGCATTTTTCAGGGACAAGGGGACTGTCCTTATACAGCCGTGCTTATCAAATATTTCAATGATTACATCATACCTAAATGCAGAATGTAAAAGGTATTTAGGGCAGGCATTACCCAGAAAACCACAGGGGCTGAACGGGCCATGTATTCAACATCTGTAATGATGTAGATTAGAAATGTTGCTGACTAGTCAAAGAAAAGCCTCCCTTTCAACATAAAAAACTAAACAAACAGGAAATTTTCATTTTTTTTATCCCGCTACTTCAATCCTGATTGATGTCATAATACTTGCCTTGCCTTGAAAACTGAATCCATGAGGTAGCAGCTCAGATAAGCAAAGCACTGCTAACCTCGGAGAAAGAACCAGTAAATGTCAGCGAAGTAACACTAAAGAGCTACAATTATCTCAGCAGACGTCAGCGGGGTAGGTGTTTTTAGGTCACCCAGAAAAAGATGCTAAAATGAAAAAGACTTGTCCAGGGTTTGCAGATGAAACAGAGTCTCTGAGAGTCAGTGTCCCTGCTCACCAGTTTTCCTCCCAGGATCCCGAAAAACAATCAATTACCCCGGAGAAAGGCCCGGCACACTGAACTCATGCTCCCCTGTCTCCATTCTTATTCTAATGATCTTGGAGTCCATCCATGTCAATTAATTCTTCCCTGGGAGTCATACTGAATTACTCTGGGGGCTTTTTCTCAGACATGACGTGTTCCTTGCAGCTCTCCTTTCCCTCCCAGCCACTAAAAAGGGCTGCAGGTGGTGAAGGTACCAAACCCGGTGTGTGTTTCACCACTCACTGTTGTTTCTACATGGACCTGGCTCAGTAAGGCCAGGCAGATGTAACTCAGTAGCACGAGGGCGGGGGTCTCTCCACCGACGTCTGCCAGGAGAGCCTGAGCAGCGGGAGAGGAAAACCGTGTCCCTCTGCTCCGTTTGAATCTGATGGCTTTAACTGAGGTACTATAAGAAAACAGATACCATCTACAGCCTGGGAGGACGACAAACTGAGCCAGAGATTTCCTTATGGGGTTCAAGCAGTTTATATGTAGAAAATAACTGGAAAATAGGAACAAATGCTTGTTTTACTTAAATGAGTCATTCTTTCCAAACTAACTGTAAGAACCTGAAATCTGAGGCTTCCCCTCAAACTCATTTCCAAAGCAATAAATAGCTTTTTGTATCAGGATTTAAAAGCCCCATTCATGCAATGCTAAAATATATTGGAAGCCGTACAGAAATGGGATGAAGACAGCAGGGGATGAGCAGTCAGTCTCCAGGTTGTGCTTTAGTTATGGCCACAGAAGCACACAGCAGGGGGCTGCAGCAGATATGCTGCCCACCTTCTAGATAAAAGACACTTTCACAAAGACGCCCGTCACAAAACCACCTCTTTGCTAAAAAAATCCATAAACACATGAACAAAGGTGGCACAGACCCACAAAGCGGACCAGGAGCCGCTTGGCGTTCGGCTTTTCGTCCAAGGACGCTGTGACATGTGCGCAGGACAAAGTCCAGCCTCGTGATTTAAGTGCAAATCACTGCCTACACTGCCATTAAGAAACAATACAGAGCAGCGTCACACAGGGATTTTGAAAGTGTACCCACTTGCACTGATACAGTGACAATTAAACCATGAAGCTTTTTTTAATCAATTCAGGTTAAGTGGTTTATGGCTGTATGGGCCAGTTTCTCTATGCATCTGAAGGTCCCGATCGGGAAAAGCTGACGAATGAAACATATATCACACTATACATACATATATCAGTGCATGCCATACTGGAATTATAGAATCATACATTACGAGAAAATAAATAGCAACAGAATTGAGATAATCAAATAAAAGACTTAGGGGGAGACTTAGTGAGCTCAGCAACAACAAACTGTTGGAGATGACTAAAATTTCAGGGAATTGTTCTTACATATTCATAAGGTTGCAATGCCAGATTGCTCTTTTGTCTGCAATCTGTGGCGACTTTTTGCAAGGCGGATGGAAATGTCTGGTTACATAGAATCTACATCATCAGCATTTTCAGCTGACAGCTAAAAATCCCCCACTATAACCCTCTGAGGAGACTGGAAACAAGACAAAGACACGGACAGCCAAACAGGCACCCATGCATGCCCATGTGCTCTTTTGTTGGACACGAGAACTGGAGCAGGAACAAAAGGTGCCATAATTTGTGATTGTGCTGCATAACCACAGAAATTCATACAGTTGGTGGAAACCATGCAGTCTCAATATAAAGCAAAGCCTCACCAGCATCACATCAAGTATAGTCTGTGGGATTCTGCTTTCAAATAAAAACAGTATGAAGCTTCCTGGTGACCAAATCTGTATGAAAATCAGCTGGTATTTCATAAAAAAGGGGTGGAATATACTGCCTAGGTGACTAAAGGAACCAATACAAGAGCACTGAGTCAGTTAAAATGAAGAAATCATAAATAAAAAACTGAGTTTCCTTAAAAGAATGATTAAAAAAGACTGCCACAAAGCCGTTTATGACTTGTTCATTAACAGGAGCTCCCTCCCTGTACTCATATATAAGTCATGAAGAACCCCTCTTAGTGTCCTCTCAAATCCCCTCACGTATTTATCACAACTCAGCACCCCGGGGTACCTGACGGTGACAGATTAGGGGGTTTCTCATATGGCGAGAACAAAGAGCCAACACAAAACACCCCATTACTTCCCCCAGGCATCCAGCCATCTACCTCTACCACTCCTCTAACAAAGGTCACCTGGTCAAAGTAATTTAAAGTCAACCTTTCTATGGTGTGAACTGTCTAGCTTAGATTTGGTGGAGAGAACTGGAAGTCAAGCCAAGATGAGTTCTGATGCCGGTAGGGAATCAGCTGGTAAAAATAATCCAAAAAAAGCAGAATGTAAGCAATGGTACTGTTGTAATATCTTCTGTCTGTGGCTGTTGTTCTTGTTCTGGATTAGGGTGGCATTGGGTTTTCTTTCTAAAAAGCCATAACAGCACTTCCCCCCCCCCCCCTGCCCGACACAGTAATCAAAATCCCTGCAGACTCGGCTGCCTCATCGTCTGACAGTCTACAAATATATATCCCCTGAGCTACCGAGGGCTTAATGAAGTGTCAGACAGGCTGGGGATGCCTGGCCTTTTGAATAGGCAAAGCATGAGCAGTAGGAAGGGCCACCAAATGATTTCGTTTAGTGCAGTGTCAGCAGAAGCTGGGTACAGGGGGGTGGGGGTGGGGGGGGCACAATGTACTGGAGATGATTTGTTTTTAACGCCGACCCTCCACAGGCTCCAAATAGATAGCTTCAAAAGGAAACAGGCCTTCATCTTGTCAAAGAAAATTGCATATGCATAAGCACCCGCCGGCCCCCTGCCATCACACCAGCAGCGCCTGAAACTGAGGGACGGCTTCACTGGATACTTAGATATTCAGAACCACGTTGCACATCACAATAGCTCTATAGTGCTCGCTTAATTCCCATCAAATCCGACCGCGGTCACACGTGCAGCTACATAAACAAACCTCAGGACCGGACTCGGTTCCTACTTTAGTTGGCGTCAAAGAAATGTCACAACGGGGCTTCTTTTGAACGCAGATTCCTCTAAGAGCACTGGTGTTCCTGAAGTTCAGCTGTCTTTGTTAACAGGCTATTTGTTGTGAAAAATGGGCACATCATTTAGCTGGGCTCATTCCACAGATTGCTCTGACCTCCGCAAGCTGCCGAGCACTCAGCCAGATACGGAAACGCAAGGAAAAAAACGGGATTGCAAACTGCCTCCAATCAGCCCCCAAGGGGCTCTTGGCATAATACTTGAAGTTGCCTCCTCCTTCATCACGGTGGTCACGGCAGCTTTCATCACTCCGAGCTGATGGGGAGCGACTGGGGGGCTTCCAGCTGAAACATCGGATTTTTGTAACACCGCTCAAATGTCTGAAATCTCAGTGCACGCTCCTTCTGTTGGTCATTTTATAAAATATTGACAGAACTGCCTGTCACACAAAGTGCCGGCAGGACTGGAATGCTCCGCAAGAAAAACGTAGAGCCTCGCATAACGGGAATAAGGAAGAAGCTAAATGAGCAAAGCGACCTCCATCGACATCCACTTGGTTGACAAAAGGAGCCCTCTTCACTTCATCCAGGTAAAAAGCACTTTGGAGGAAAAGAGGTAGTCATCAGTTTGATCTGTTAGACGATGAAATTATGGCCAAATTTCACAGGCAGAAAAAGAAGCTGAGTTCAGATTGGCTGTTAGATGTAGGGGAAAGGAAAGTCAGATATCCCACTTGTCGTATGGAAAATTATTCATACCCACTTCCATTCTTCGTGATGCTTTTACTGTACGAGGTCAGAATTGCTGACTGAGGTCATCCTGATAAATCTGAGCGAGCCTTTTCTCAGCCGCAGTCAAAAATCTACATCGGTGCCATTAAAGGTGCATTCAAATCAGGCACTGAACATTCATAAGAAAAAAAAAAGGAATCCAAAGCTCATAAAACAGTCGTCTTTCAGCGTGGGTGAGGCAACATGCTCAAATCCAACAGTGATGTCAGCAGAAATGGACTCAACATCACCAGTGAAAACCATCTGCTTCTCTACAGGTCGTGTTCCCACGTCAAACAGAGCAGGTAGCGGAAGCCTTCTCCCTAACGCAGAGATCACTGAACGGTCAAGGTGTGGTCAGAGGGCATCCGAAGGCGCCATGTGTGTCTTCATCCAGGATCTTTTAGCCCCGGGGGGTTTTGGGGAGTGTCTTCATGTGTCAAGCTTGCTATCAGATCCCATCAGACGGGTATCAGGAGAGTTCAGGGGTCAGGGCAACACCTCAGGCTGCCCAGCTGCTGAAAGCAGCTGGTTAAAGGTCACCAGGAAGTAGCCAAACATAAAAAAGAGGAGTGCTGCTCACTTTACCAGTCAGTGGTTCTTTTGACTAATGCAGATTATACAATAAAATTTAAAGTCTTTGGTCCCTTTTTCATTTACAGAAAAGTTTAACCTATCTATGAGTAATAAAGGATGGTGTTTCTCTTTTCCACAGCTTATGTAAATGTCTGTACTCTGTACATCCCACTCAGGGGGCGCCGTGTGGAAGTGGCGTCCAGCGCAGGAAACTCGAACTGTCAGTGAAAGTGACAGCAGGGCATCGTTTGACCCCTGTTTAACAAAGACTGTGTCTCCCCGCAGCCATGTTTCAGCTGGTGTACATCAGGGGACTGCACTCCCAGTCCCCTATTAATAATTCAGAAGCCACAACAAAGCTAACCCACCCAACACACACGTATGAATCAGACCATGATTAACGGAGCTAATACACAAGTCAATGTTCTCTGTACTGGGATGGAAATTGATCAGTCAGTAGCCAATAATTATCATACTATAATCACCGTTATCATCATTTACTCCTACAGCTGCATTGGACTGGACGTCTCTACATTGACTTTACTCCCAATCTGAATAAAGAAAAAACTAGAAATATCCACAAAGTACTAGAGCACTGAGACCAAACGGCCAAATGAAAGCAGATGAGTCTAAGAGATTACTTGTTATCCTTCTTTCACTTGTGCACATCTCCTATAAACGCTGAGCGACTGCATCATCTCAGACTCTGTCTGCCCACACACTCACACACAGAGGCCTCCTGAGTTACACTTTTATGACCTAAATGCCTGTTTAAAAAAGGAACGATAGACGCAAAAGGCATTAAGAAAATCAAGTGGTATATTTGTCGTTTTGTGGATTTTAACGACGGTAATGGAGCAATTTGCACAGGAAAAGTTAAAGCATTCACAGATGCACGACTTCAAATGTGTTCTCAGAGGAATCTACAAATTTATTTTTAGAGTTTCACAAAAACATTTAGATTCCCTCCACCAGCAGGTCTTTGGTTTGTGGATGGAAGCCACACAAAGCCGGCCAACACAACACACGTTGTGGAGAAATAATCAAAGAGCCACTTTCAGTATGTGCAGCACTTACAGAGATGTCAGAGCAGAGTCCCAGCTCCAGGTTTTTCTGCTGAGCATCAGTTGTCACTTTTCCAGCACAGTAAGAGCTATATTTACTGACCTCAAAGCCCCAGCGGACGTCAAACTGAGTGACATGCGTGCTTCCATTTGCTTTACATACAAAGCAAAAAAAAACTGGATCCTTTCAACACATACAATATTTGACAACATTCCCCCAAAGAGGACTGTAGAACAGCCTTTTTACAGTTAATCTGTGCAGCAGCTGGAGCTCAAATGTAAGTGCAAAACGTACCAAATTTATCAGATAATGCTGACAAACACCACATTAGGAAATCTTTAATCTTTATGTAAGCAAAAATGGGAAAAGGACCACATTCAGAAGAGCTCAGACTGTCCATAGATGTCAGGTTTGTCATAAAAGTGGTAATCAATTCTGTAAAACTGATCATCTCGGGGAAGACGAGTCAAACAACAAGGATTTGACGTCTAATTTATGAGTTTAGAACCCACAGTGCGTGAACCAAAAATGAAGAAAGGAGTTAAAGAGGGTGGACAGACTGGGCAGACGGCCAACAGGCCCTTCAGCCGTCAGAGGAATTGTGCATCTTAACTCTTTACTTTAAATGGATGCACGACAACAAAAACACAAACATGACGTCAGCTTCCAGACTGAAACACTCCCGTTTCTAAATGTCACTCTCTCCTTCATTGTTTGTCTCATCATAGTGCATAATGCCACACAAACACACCCACAATTAGCCGGCTAAATCATCTATTACTGGCCCATCTGCTGTAAAGAAAAGTCACTGGAAATCACAGTGACAGCTCCCTAGCGGCGGGAGGGAGGGCAAATGACTCTTTCTAATGCCGTCTTTATCGCTCTTTTCCAGCACCTGTGGCCACACGTCTTCTCTGTGAGTGTGTGCGGTCAGTTCATTAAGGAGCTTTTCGCTGAAGTGTAATGACGGGGTAATAAAGGGAGGCAAGTGGGGAACCCAGAGGGGAATAATGCTCTCAGGTAACTGCCTTGTGCAGATGAGACCTGTCCAGAACCGAGGACAAACAAAGAAATAAAGAGGGGATTCTTTATTGAGAACTGAGCTAATAAAAGTGAAATAATGAACAATGGCTTGACATTTGTAATAAGGGAGCAAATACTACAGCACAGCAGGGATTTATTCAGCTGGAGCTCATAAAGTCTGGGGTAACAGTTTGCACAACCCTGACAAAAGCTACCTATCATAAAAATAAGCTAAAAAAAATAAACACTGTAAAACAAAGTGCTCTCGTTTGCTGCTTTTCCCCCAAAGGAACCCTGTCTTTTGCATAACTAAAACAATCACCTGCACATTTTTTAATCTGCACGGGTCAGCAGTGACATAAGAGAGGAGAGCTCCTTCAGCTTAACAAGCTATTTCACCTGGTTGACTGACAGGATACAGGGCTTATTTCAACAAGGCGTTTCAGGCCTCAAAATGCTTGCTGTTAGTCAGCTGTGTCAGCTTTGGAGAACGTACATACAAAATGGGAAGGCTGTAAAAAAGGGAATCACACAAGTCGACTGAGGAAGATGTTAATGTGTCAGGTGGGAAAATTCAAAGCATAAAGTCTGGAAATCTGATCAAATACGTGGCAAATGATGCATGAAACACATAGAAAGGAGAGTGAAAGTGTGTAATGGAACTGTGGTTTACGTCCAGATTAGCCACACATAAACCATCACTGACGCCAAAACAGAAGAATCAAGACTGCAGTGGAGCAAAGAGACGCAGTCATAGACTGGATGATTGGATGGAAGTGATTTTCAGAGATGAATGGCCACTCTGCATTAGAAGAGACGCTGCTGGAACTGCTGTTTGGCCCTTTGAAACATGATGATGACTGCCTGAAGAAAACAAGCACATTTCCACAATGACAGATGACATGGGGTTAATTTCAGGTGAAGGAGGTGGCAGTCATTAACTGTGAAGTGCACGTACATGTGGACACGTTTCAACTAAATGGAAAGCATTCCTGCTACTTGTTTTAATGAAGTTCTCATTTTCAATTAGCTTTAACAACCAGGGGGCCTGATGTTAGTGAAGAGTACACAGAGAATAATGAAAACAGGTAACTATAAGACAGAATAAATCATCGCGGCAGCTCTCAATACACATTTATCTTTCTCTTACAGTGTGATGATGAGTTTAAAACTCCAGCCATCAAATAGTCTTAAGTAGGTTTTCAAAGAATATCTGATTCTAAAGTCATCTACATGGGGCAGTTTATGCTTGTGTTAGCTGTAGTGCAGGAATCCCCTCCTCCATCCCGAAAAAACTCAGTCACCCATCAGGGCTTGAGCTAAAAGACGCAACACCAAAAGTGGCACGCTTACCTTTCGAACCCCCTCCACTTCAAACCCACCCAGGTTTGCGTAGAGCGAGTGGTGCCTCTTCCCTAACAGCGAGGTGGTGCTGAAATTAGCAGCGGTGGGGACCTCTTTGACCGGGGGCCCGTGGTGCTTGTTGTCCGGCTCCCCCGGCCCCTGCTGCTGTCGCCCGCCAGCCTCCGCCTGCTCGCGCTTCTCCATGTCTGCGTGTGCCGGCGCGGGTTCTGGCTGCTCAGGCCGCGTGCACAGGTCGTACATCACTGTCCGTCCTACATCAGCTGTTGCAGGACAACCGAAAACGGCAGGGACGGCAACGTCCTCTCCCTCCGACGGCTCACACGCGGGAGCGCCGGGGCGAGGTGTGAGGAACCGGCCACGGCGCGTCCACTGCCATGACTGTCAGCGGCACGCAGTCCCGGTCGGCTCTGACTGAGGGAACCCAGAAGCAGCAGCAGTGCAGGTCGCTGAGGCTCAATCCCAAGCACTCCAGACAAACCGGGAGCTGCCAGGCGGCTCGGCTCCCCCTGTGAGTGGTGACGTTTCTCCAAAACGAGGACGGTCAGCTCCAGAGGGACGGTGAGGGAAACTCAACCAATGTCAGCACACTGTAGCATTCTTTGGCTTACTGCTGAGAGGATTCAACACAATGTGGCATTCAGATGACGGCAGGCTTCGTCTTCTCTCCCCCCCCGCCGCACAAAAGACGGGCTGATAAAACTGACAGAACAGGAGACACGCCGGGCCACTTGTGACACAATGTAGCGCTCAGACGGGCTCGCGCGGGCCCAAAACACGCAAACAAAAAGAGGCGCGTGACGGAGGAAAATAAGCAGAGGGGGGCTGGCTAACAGGTCTCCCTCCCTCAGCGCGGCTGGGGCGCGGGCGGCATGGCGACGAGTCTCTCGTCACTGATGCAGCCGCCTCGGAGAGCGTTTCATCCAGATGCAACCAGACGCGACAGCGCCGCTTAATCCCATCCTGCACGCAGCGCCATAAAGGTGAAGAAGAAGGATGAGGGGAGGAAACGTGTGTGTGTGTGTGTGTGTAAGACGACGAGCCTCACTGAGAGGAGGGGGCAGGGAGCGCTGCTTCCCCCGTCCTATCACAAAAAGGCAGGCTGGGAGACAGGGCCCAATCATTAGAGCGTCCGGGGCTCGTTTCCATGGAGATGACGCTGGAATGATGTTGGCTGCCTATTGATTGTTGAAGAGGCCGCGGACACCGCAACAGAGGGAGGCTGCAGGAGGCAGGCGGAGGAACAAGTGTGCCCCTACCTACCACAGCAGCGCTGACATTTCCCAGCCACAAACAGGTCTCAGACCTCAGATCTGAGTCATTTAGCCTCCGACACGCAGAACCGCTTAATTTGAAACTGAATAAATAAAGAAGCACCGGAATTAGTAAACACCTCTAGAAATTTTTTATCTTTCTGTAATTTCAGTGTTTTCTTGGATATCTGAGGGAGTTTTTTTTTTTTTAAAGCTTTGTCTGACACAGAAGCTTTTTGTTTTGCACCAACACTACTTCTCCCAGCTGCAGGTCTATTCATTATTCATTAGTGTTTGCTTGCTAAAAACATGACTGGAGTGGCCCGAAGCCTGAAACAAACCCAGTCATGAACACTTTCTGCTCTGCTTTGCAGAATCTTACTGCTCGATTGGTATCATGCATACCCACTCATTCCAACCTGCGGGCGTATGGTCAGATTTAACACATATTGTAAGTACGAAGAAAATCTAAATAAGTACAAAAGAAGAGAGCACTCAGGTCAGCATGTCCCCGGGGTACATCAAACCCCAGAAACCAGGAGCTGAACCGGGTCATCATGGCTCAGTATCAACAAACATGGTCGACCAGTCTGCCGCCAAAATACAGACATGACGTAAGAACAAACCACCAATAACCAGTTTCACCTGCTGACTAAATTAAATCTATACATGTACCCTTTCTTAGTTTAATTCAGTCATTGTGTTTTATTCATGTATCAGCGGGGTTTTCTTACAATTGTATTTATGCATTTGTTTGTTCGTGATTCTTATCTGGAAAAGCTGCTATTTACTGTACATTTACAAGTTTAACTTACTTATTTACTTATCAGCTCAGTCAGGCTCATTTTCTGTTTAAATTAGTTAATTATGTGGGTTGTTCTTATTTAACAAGCCTGAAAAATAACACTGTGAAAAGGAAAAGTTACAATATATAAAATATATTACAACATCTCTCTTTCAACAAAGACGAGACCAAAGTCCAGGGGCATAAAAACTGAGGACCACCTTTGTGCATCCAGAGGGAAAAGTGGGATAGAAAACCTGGTAGAGCCTTTAGGTCTTATTTGTTTTATTGAATGAACTATGTAACTGCGGGTGGGAACTGTAGCGAAGCAAAAATAGGAACCTGAAAAGTAAACTATGCAATATTGAGAATAATTAGATGATAGTGGACATGCTTCTACACATTTTCAAAGGAAATCTTAATGTCGGTACGCTTAAAAGAACAAATGTGTGTGAAAATTCAGCAGCATCTGAACGTCTTTTTAACATCTGCAGCTGATGCTGACGGAGTGCTGTGAAGAATGTATGCAAAAAAATAGACGGGGTATCTCAATAGGAAACATTAAAGCTTTGATTAATTATTAAGTTTGTTCTATCCAAACCTGATCCAAAATTTAAGAGACAGAAGAACACTGACCTACTTCCGCCCCTCCATAAAGAGGCATTAACACACATATCCGCCTCCTCCTTCCGCATATACCCTGTAAAATTCCCCTGTGAACAGATGTGTTACTCTATGAGACGGTTCAGTCTGTTGATTTTAGAATAGAAGCTTGATTCTTTTTTTCAAGGTGGAAAAGAATCAAATAAGTGAATATCTCAAGAGAAGAGGAGGCAAGTTGGACCACAGCACCAAACAGAAATATGGGCAAAAGTTTGGCCACTCTGAGATCTGATCTCAGACACAATCACTGCTTTAAGGTAGTCTGTGTTTTTAGTTTTGTTTTCTTATGCATCAGCTTTACAGCTATCATGCGCTTGACCCCTTCACAGCCACCAGCACAAGAAGTTTGTAACTCTATGTGAATCACTGGTGGACACAATCTATGCATCGGTTTTGATCGACCACTCACTTCAAAATGAAGAGAAACATCGACAAAGAAGATGCAGAACTGAGAGCACACTTTGTTTTTAAGGGAAGATTCATAAGACACAGGAAGGCTCCGGGGACAAAATTATCAATAGAAAAAAAACTAAAAATCCATGAAACCACTAACAAAAATGACTTCTTATCTGTTACTGAAAGGTCATATGCATAAGTGAAAAACAGCACAAGACAAAGGATGCAAAAGTAGGTGCATATCGAATTTGAATTGAGAAACTGTGGACAGATTTAGCGATTAAATCGAGGTACAGTGAAATCCTTTGCTGTGATAGGCTGATCCACATACATCATAGATACACCACACAATAAGCGTGACCCCCCTCGGCGGCTGCTCTTCCACAGAGAGACAACGTGCTCCACAGCAATACAAAAACTGTAACAGGAACGCATTAAAGGGCTTGTTGACTCTGCCTCCAGAGTCCCCCGATCCCAACATGATCAAACATCCTCGTGATGTGCAGAGCTGAGTTCAACCCAGAGAGGCTTCACCTTGTGACCAAGTAAGTTTAGAGGATCCAAAGACCAGTTTTTCAGAACCACAAACCACAATTTAGCTTCTAATGTTTGAAGATCACAAACATGAAGCATAAGCCTTATTCAAAAGTGTGTGTTCCTTTAAAATAACAAATAATAATACAATGGTAATGAATTGCTGGAAGTGCGCGACCCTAAACTCATTCTCATTACAAAGTAAGAGAGGTAAAAGTCAGGGCTGAGAGGATGCCTTCGGTCTAGTAAAAAAGAAAATGTAAGCAACAAAATGCATCCAGTGTCCAGTATATTTAACATTCAAGGAAACAGGCAGAGCACTGAACGGGGCTGCATGCGCACATAACTTCTGCTTTCCTATCAAAGCAAAGCTGACAGTTGTGAGTACAACGCTGTCACTTACTTCATCCCACACCAGCCAAATATCCTCTGGATCTGCTTGGCTTGTCATACAAATACAAAAACTTTAAAGCCTGTTGAATTTAAAAAGGTTATTGGGCTGGTTGTGCTGTAATATCCCATCTCAGTGTGGCTCCAGAACATATTTTTAAAAGATTTTTTAAAAAGTTAAATGTTAAGTTGGTTTGGTTTATTTAGTGCTTCCCGAAGCACCAAACCGGACATACGTTCTGCACATTTATTTGGGATGGAAGGAAACACAGAAAGGGAAGCCGCTCACCTCCATGTTGCTCTGCATGCATTTGGATGACGATGATTCATCTGACCAGGAGGACTCAGTCCAGGATGACGGCTGACTGTCCCGATCGGCATGGGGACATACGTGAGGCGGGTGGATTCTGTGAGCGGCGTCCCTGACTGTGGCAGCGATGCACGGAGCAGCAGCTGGGAACACTTTGTCTGAGGGATGCCTCCTCCGAACCTCTTTGGATTTCCTCTTCGGGGAGCTCAGAACAGGGGGCACCTGACAGGGGCTACTGCTGACTCCCTCTGCTGGCATCCTTGAGGTGCTCTTGGCGACATGGCCGGGGGATCCTACTCTCCGAGTACCTTCCAGCAGCTTTCCGTGGGCATCTAAAAGGTGGCAGAGGAAGATGGCTTTTTCTAGCTCAAACTCCTGCCGCTGGTGGAGCTTATAAGCGGCGGGGTCCGCGCTTATCTTGTCATACAGCGTCAGCAGCAACTGCTCCAGCTTCGTTTGCCCACCACAGAAACCGCCAGCCTTCTCCCCCGTGGACTCAACCTCACTGCGGCGCCCGCCGCCTTGAAACGCCGCCTCTTTTGCCAGGAGATATCTGCGTCTCCTACTGTCTTTTTGGCTCCCTCGCCTGGCCGCCACCTCCCTCAAAACCCTCCTATGTTCCTTCTCTGCCTCCTCCCGCAGGTGCCTCAGCTCCACGCCAAGCTGCCCCCAAGCCCACAGCGTCCGGGTCTTCTCCACTTCCAAGTCAGCCTGCAGCCTCTCTAGCTCCCGTCCGTACCCCGTCTGGTCCCGGGGCGATCTCTTGGATGACAGTGCCAGAGGGTTATCCCCGTCTTCCCTCATGGTGACTCATTCACAGCACAACATGCAAGGAGGGTTCGAGCAAGAGTCAGAAAGAGATGGGCCATGCATCCATGCATCAAAGCTGACAGGAAGTGCAGGGGGAGCTGACTGTGGGTGGTTAGCAGACATGCATCATGCAATTACAACACTGGATCACTGGAGAGATGAGATGAGATGAGAGTGGAGGATGTGAGAGATATTAAGACATTTTAGAAATTTAAAAAGACCAAAGTAACAAATTAACAGCACATGAGCAGTGAAAGCAGAGGTGGTGATTTCGGGGTGGCTTCTGTTTGGACTGGTTTAGTAAAAGCTTGATTAAAAAGCGTGTAGAAATCATATCTTGTCCGCTAATCTGCAGCTAATTATCTGCACCTGATGCCTTAACCCTAAAATGGGACGTGTCCCCGTTTATTTAATTTAAACGTGGCTCAACGGCAACGAAAGCTGCATTTTACAATTGGTCTTTTGCTCTCTTTTTTGTAACAGAAAGAGTTGAAGATGGACCTAAAGATGCAACAGGTGAGCCCGAAGCAGACAGCCTTTAGCTCAGTTTAACCCTCCACCAAACCACCTTAGCTGTGCCCCCATGGACGAGGGGGGAGGTTTCGTGTTACGGGATGGGAAGCTAATTAATTAGCGTAATGTCGCCTTACTAAACGCAGGTGGTGCTAAAATAATATCTAATGAAATGAAATGAAGTATGTTGTATACTACATCGGATGGAAGTTACTGCTAGTAGCTAATGCGTCCCCTTAGCCACTGTTAGCTTACCGTTAAGTTGCACAGCTAGAACTTATGTCAAACTCACCTCTAAGTGGACCTCACTATCCTATTTAAGTTTTGTATCACTAGGGACATCTTCTTTAAGCACGACTTCACTTTGGACAACAAAGCAGGGTGTGGAGCGCCACTCAAATCTGCAGCGTTAGTAGTTAAAGGTCCAAGGAGTCATGCGAGAAGGGGTTTGTTTATGTGCCGCGGCGCGGTGTCACTCAGGGTCCCCGTCCAGCGTCGTCCTGCCGGCCGGCAGCTGCCTTCAACGCCTCCCCGCTACCCCTTGAGCTGGAGACAATGCTAATGCTCAATGTGTCCGATTCCATAGCCGTTTACATAACTCGTATTATATCTTAAATTATAAAGATGATAATTCTAGGAGTAGACGTATAGAAATTATTTTGCTTGTTGTGTAACGAAACTAGGTTTAAATGTCGCTAATTTAGGCTGTAAATAGGTTTTCGAGTTTATTTTTATATTTCTGAGATTAGCTCGTGCATATTATAAATTGTTACTTTAATTTGTAGGTAATTTGTTTCAAATAAGAAAGCTGCTTATTTGGCTGAGCTAACGGGCATTTCGCTAATTGTAGCATATTGGAAAGTCCGTGAACGCAACACTGTCAGAGGTCCAAATCGCACGGCCGTGTCCGTTCACGGGACACTGATGACCACTAGTGGCTGCACTGTGCAGGGCTGCACTGGGTTAGTTGTATTTTTCCCTGGACTATCTTTTCTGTTTCTTTTTAATAGACTAATATCCCCCTAAAAGTTTTCTCTATTTACACTGAAGCTGTTGTTCATCTGCTCCAAAAGATCCCAACAATAACTTAGAACTCCTCTGATAGGCTTGGAGGACAGGTTTCAATGCGTGAAGTCAACAAAGTTTTATCTTAAAATAATTACTTTTCTATGTTTTTATTATGGGTTTATAAAATAGGGCCTTTCAAATCACTGTTGTTTGTAGTTTTACTGTGATTGGTCATCTGATTTTCTGTGTAAAACTTGTGGAGCCTCAAATCTTCTCCAAATTATTATTCTAACACCATTTTCAATATCATTGGAAGAGGTGTATATCCGTGGCACATCTGTAAAAGCTGTGATAAATCTATAATTGTGTCAGGGCAGTTAGAGGATTACAACACAGGCCATCCACATATATGTTCAGGGTTCAAGATGAAAACTGTACACAGAAAGATGCCAGATGAGGCACGAATCGGGACATCTTCTGTTTGCAACACAGCTAATGGCAGCACCAAAGTGCAGCCCAGTGTGGGGAGTTCCAGGAAAAAACCCATAGACATCAGATAAAGACAGAGGGGAATTCTACTCTTTTATTCATAAATTCCCCGGTTTTACATTTACTGAATTATCTGATCAGATGCTAAGCATTTTAAGAAAAAAAAGATTATTTAGAAAAAAAGGAATGAATACGTGACTGATGATGTTATTAACATCATCTCATCGACCAACTGTTAGCAGGATGTACTCAACAGGAATGTTCTGTTTAATATGATCCACAAGACTTTGAAGGGCTTCCTGGGAGTTTATTATTTGGCAAAGATATTGAAATGCATAAATCCTCAAAGGTATGTAGATGCCTTCTCATTATCATGTTGCAGGAATCTATCACATTTCGACTGATCACTTGGTGTAACGGATGCATTAACGGGATACTAATTTGTATTTTCTGCCATATGTTGTCTTTGATTTTAGTGAAGTGCAGGAGCGATTTGCATCATCCACGGATTGTGTTTGTGGTGTAGAAACATTAAAGATGCAAAGACTGAAACAAAGAGACTCTGCATGCCACTCTGTGTTATCAGGGTGTCCTTGGGCCGCTCTCACTCCCATCTCTATCGGCTTACGTGTGGCAGGCCGTTGGGAAAACCCCAAATTGACAGGGAGGGGAAGCAAATTTTTCACAATAATCTAAATTCCTCCCACCGCATCTGCTGAAACATCCTTCTTCCACCTGAATATTGCACCTGTGATAGTCCTGAAAGCAGCCCTGCCAAGAACACCTCTGTCTACACTTCTCCCATCAGCCTTGTTACTTTTGCTCGAATTACGATTTACCCATGAGGTGATATTTCTGTGTCTAAATCCCTTCTATTGTACTACACATGCTCATCGTGGATTGAATACATTAGATTGATTTATAGCATAATTCTGATGGTTTCACAAAGTAAGTTTACTACATTATTTTATTATGTCTGCATTAATCTATGTTAAATGTGACTCTCAGTGATTCAAACTGGAAAATAAAAAACAGATCAAGTAAACATCCATGAATAGTTTCATCCTCACAAATGACTGGAGGCGAGGATAGTGCTGCCTTACAGTCTTTTATTTTCAGGACATTTTATATTCTTGCCATGTTTTCTCCCTTTTTTAAAACTGTCCTGCCCAGTATTGGCCCTTTGTTACTCTGCCTGTATGTAATGTAGGGTGTTAAAGATGGGCTGGCACTTCCTTACCTGCCATGATAGAAAATAATACCCTTAAGGTTACATAATGTATCAGTAAAATTTATTTCCTGAATCTTTGAGCCCTGTTGTTGGTTCTGCATGCCATTAAGAAGGCTTACAGGTACAATTCTTCTAAAAGGGAAGATATTAAAACTGGAAATAATGGAAATTGTTCTTCGTCTTTGCTTTGGATGACCCTGTTTACATCTGTCACACTTTTCACAACCCGCAGGGCAAAGAACACTACCTGTCTTCATGACCCACTTTGAATAATTGTCCAACGCAAAGGTGTCAGGATGTTACACTGTACTATATGTGTCAGCTTCATATTCAAGACCTTTGTAGCTGAAGTGAAAATCTCATGCAGACTTTCAGAAAGAAAAGCATGTCATTGTGTAACTGTATCCTAGTGACGAGTCCACGACTTGCTGTGGTGCCTTTGTCGTTTTTCCATTTACGACTTGGGAACATAAGTGTACAATTCAGGGCCTCTAAAAGAAAAAACGGTACATAAGTCGAGAAAGTGCTTCAGCCATGGATCTCCTCCTATTGTGCCCATATTTTTGACAGTGTACAATACATGACTTAACCAAATTTTCCTGATGATACAGCAGATTGGTTTTTAGAAAAGGTATTTCTGCCAAGTGAGAGTGGCCCATTTGCTCACATTGTGTGTCTCTGCCCGGACATTCAACTGGGAACTGAGGAGAACAGTCTTCCTCTAACTTTTCCTCCCTCCAGACCTTTTGTCTGCCTTAGCATTGTTTCCTGTTCTTGTCCTCACTCTAGTAACTGTAGCAGAGGCTGTCAAAAACATCTGATCCAATTATATTTACGATTTCATGTAGTTCAATCAGATAACTGATTATCGATGAGAGATGTTGAACAGCGGACAAAAGCTGAATTTATTCTCCTACTCTTTAATAAGTGAAACAATGCCATTAGTTATCTCATCCAAAATAGCTCTTCAGTACCTAAGCTTTTAAGATAACACCAATGGAAGAGACAAAACAGATAAATAGCATTTAGATAATCATCTTGTGAAGAAGAATATTTAGTCATACAAAACTTAAACTAAAATTATGTGCCTACAAATGAAAACAATACTACATATTTATTTCAAACACTGAAATATTTTAGGCATCTAATGCCAACGGCTCTCAGTTTAAATATCCCTTATGCTAATATCATAGAACATATAAATGCTGTAACGAATGCTTAACGCATATCTAAATTTAGCTGCCCTCTTCTCATTAAACCAGTTTACTTTGAACTTTTGCAACAAAGTGAAAAGAGGAAAAAAACAAAGCATGGAACATCTATGGCACATGTGCACATGTCCTGGGGGTTCATCTAATGAGTGCAGTGTAACAGATTCACTGTACTTTGGAGGAGTCAACACTTAATGTGCCATGGTTACAGCCCTGAAATGTTCCTTTAAAATTCAGATAATGGCCATAACAGCTTGTCTACTTCTCAGCGGCTCATGAAAGATTTCCTTTTGGCTCCGCTGGAGGATTGATATTGTCAGCCTGTACTGATCTTGGAAAAATCTAAATTCACAGCAATTAGTTAGTAAATGAAGAGCTGTTTATCCAGTCTCTGAAATATATGGAAAGTTTGGGCTCTGGAGAAACTTTTAAGTCCAGCGTGGCCAATAAAGACCATCATTCTGGGAGAAAAACGCATCTATCAGTTCACAGTCAGTCAGCAGCCTTCTGTGAAACCCATTGCTTCATAATCATAGCCCTTTACATTAGATGCCGCTTTGGGGGAGAGCCCATGCACAAACACACACACATGCACGCAGAACTTAAGCCACAGCCTCGTCTCTCTCGGTGAGTGTGTGCAGGGATGAGCAGGACCGCACCTTCAGAGAGCGCCACCTGAAACTGGAGATGCAGGGGTACCAGTAAAGGGTTAGCTTTCATTGTCTTTGTCTTTTTCCTTATGCCCCTCCTGCTTCTTTTAAGCATAGACAGGCACAGGGCGTTAGAAGATTAACATACAATACTGTGGTATTTATTGTTTTACGTAATCTCTGTCACTGAGAGCAGGTACTTATAGTCACGCAGAGCGAAGGAGATGAAAGACCTAAAACACGTAGTGCTGGATACTCCGAGTTTGCATTCTCTATTTCTGCGCAGAGTTTCTGTATTTTCTGTATGACTTGTGGAATTAAGCTGCCTGTTATCTGAGCTCTGGTGACTTTTTTTTATTTTTTAGATTTTTTGGGGGAGGAAACCTATTCTGTTTTTTTTATTTATTTTTGTTTGTGGGTTAAGATAAATACTTGTACACCAGGTATGTATTAATTTCCATGAAATACCTTCTTTATGCTTGATTTAAGTGCTCTGGTTGGTTAACATGCTCAGTTTAACATGAAACGTGGGCTCCATGCCAAAGCAGAGGATGCTGAAGTCTTTTATTCTTAAACTTTTCAGTCAGTCAAGGGTTGTCTTTTCAAATGTGAACATATTCAGAACAATGTGGCAAAGCTGGCCAGACGGGGCATATTCCTTACCCCACAGTGCTGGAAGCAGCTGAGATCACAGTTCTTGAAAATGTTTGTATCCGTTCAAGAACTATTTTTTCTTTTCTCTTTAGTCAAAAAACTATTTGTGGAGCTTATGAGGAATAAGGTCATGTGACATGGTGACAAATGATTCTCTGTTTAAGTTACAATAGATTCCCTGCATTGTAGGAACGGACAGTGCTATTTTCTGGTTTATCTCAGGCATTAAGGGATATTTTTGTGGGGCCGAAATCTTTCAGCTATTTCTCAGCACAGGGAAGTGAGAAGGGAGGGGAAGCAGGGCCGACACAAAAGACAACATTATTCCCCAGCGGATCTGCGCTACATCCTACCATGAATGGAGTATTGAAAAACACAACATTGGGGACTAGATTATTTTTCATCCCTCATAACTGAGCCATTTGTCCCGGAGTTTCGAGTGGTTGGTTGGTACTGTCTGCAAATGAGCCGGCCATGGTTCTTGAGTGCTGTGCTGGTGTTAAAATCCCAAGCTGATGATGACTGTACGTATACAGTACCATAGTTCAACATCTTCACATACCGCTTCCTTTTCTCTCCAAGGAGATGAGAGGCGCCCCTGCAGTGTCATCAGGTGCCTAAGCGTTTTGGAGAGTTTTAGTGACAGATTGCAGGAAGCAGCGTTTATGCCTGACGAAGGGGACCACAGAGAGCAGAAATGTCTTTTTGTGCCCCCTGGGCCCGGAATGTCCACTATCTCGAGGGGCCAATATCAAATTCTCCCCTCATCATCCCCTAATACACATTCCTGTGTAAGGTCAGGGGGAAATTCTTCATGAGGGAAAAGACAACTAACCAAAGTCTGAGCCAAACTCTGGAGCTTCTAACAACAATCCTGGATATCTGATTTTGAAGGGGTGTGTGAAATATGGAAACTTTAAGTGTAATTTACAAATCAACTCTGCAAACTTAGATACAAAGAAGAGATGGCTTTGAAATGGACACTGAGAGAAACCGTGTTAAATGAATGAATTCCTAGAAATGAAATTTTATGGTAGCACATATTCTGCAGAAAACTGTCCTCTAGAATGCACACAGCTCTGGACTGCTTCTCTTTGGGCTGTGCATGTCACGTTTTCCTGTTACATCCAGACTGAAACCTAAATCTTATGGCTTTTTGAGTTCAGAAGAATGCGGGGTATATGGTGTCTGGCATTTTTACTATCTACTTCTGATTATTGAGTGATCGTTGGTTAATCCCAATGTTCTCCGTCTGAAGGAAAATCCCCTGGAACACAGTGACAACTATACTGTAACTCAAACCTTCTCCAGCTGATTTTGCCCAAAAAGCGAACTTCCCCTCTTCATCCATCAGCACAGAAGACCTCACACTGTTGCCCGGTCGGTGCACAGCGGCCATTTTGTGCTCCCATAACATTAAACCCAGGTCCTAGCATTTCAGTGGAGACGGTTGTTGTTGGTAATCGGTCAAACCTTTGCAACTTTTTCATCCTTAGGAGCTCTTTCACACCAATGGGGAGTGAAGTGCATCATGCCATCTTTGGAATTTATTTCTCTCTGAGTTGCAGACCCTTTTGAGCTCAGACTACAATCAATACCTCACTACAGGGCAATAACAACAGCTGTAGGCTCTGTCAGAGAAAACAATCCAATACTATAATTAGGCTTCTCTGAACCAGGACAAAAAAACACTGACGGCTGTTTTAGTAGTAAAAGTGTCTACTACGCAGTCGCCTGTCACATTCCGTGTCACGAACGGCTCAGGACTTGGAGAGTGACTGAGAGATTGTGATTTATTTGCCTTGCAGACTGATGGTCAGTCAGGCAGCCATGCGAAGCCAGCGTGTGGTGGAGAGCGAGTGCAGGTGCTGGAACCCGGCTGTCTGGCTCCTGGTGTCCCTGCTGGGCTCCCTCGTCCTGGTGGCCATGAGCGTGCTGTTGCGGCTCGGTGAGCATATCATGATGTTCTTTAGTAAAGCCACACTGAGGAATTATGTTCTGATAAACTGTTTAAAACTCCACATTTCTGTTTGCATATTAACTTTAGGGGCTTTGGAATTCTTATAACATCTTTCCGAATTTTACTTAAAAATGTTATACATCCATGAAAGAAAATTATGTGAAATATGTTATATGTGGAGAAGTTGCAGGCCCTGAAAGCCTATTGCTCTCATTTTCAGACAGTAGATCAGCAGCTTTGAGTGAGTCAGCTTTTGTTATTGAATAGAATCTACAACGAACCACTTATGAAATGTTGGTCAAGAAGTATAAATGTAACTTTTAATGTAACTCATTGTATAAACTTCTACAGAAGTTTATACAATGAATTAATGTGAAATGACCTCCTCAGCTTATAAAGACTCTTTTGACTGTTATCTCTTAGAGAATATTCACTTTTAGATTCTGCTAAATCAAAGAATAAAGGTCTGAAACTGAAGCAGAATGCGACACATGAGATGATTTCTTGTGTGTCTGTGCTGAAACAAATAGTCGAGCTGCTAATAATGCTTTAGTACCGAGTGTACCTGCAAGCAAACTCCCTGATGGGGGCTTTTGTGTCCACATTCACTTTTTGTTCTGTGTTGGCTAGATAACTGCCCCGCAGTTGTTTTGAGGCAGCCAGGATCAATTCCACTCTCTGGATCAACACATGCAGTTTATTCAATTGTGCTGACAGCAGCATGGTGGTTTTATAGCATACAGATGTCAAAACCAATATTTATTTTGGTTTCTTCTTACAGGAGACATGAAGATAAACAAACGAGCTCTATCTGGTAAGTGTCATTCAACTGTACTTCTCTTAAGAAAAGAGAAAGAGCCATCTGCACGTGACTGAAATAGATGTCTTTACAGGCCCTGTGGCAATTAAATTGTATATATATGTTCTGTTCGTGTTTCAGTGTCACAAACAAATGGGAGAACAATGTGAAATGACCTACATTGAGTGCAATGGTTTAAAAAAGGTCACTGTTGAAATTTGAGATAATTGTCTTCAGGCATAAGAATGTCCTGCATCCTCAAGCATGACTCTCATAAACAGGTTGCATCAAAGCACGCAGCCACGGACCGCGAAGAGCATCACTCAGTTGTTTAATCCAGCCAAACACACGGTGCTTAGCTGCTTGTGATTTTTACACACAGCACAAAAAACATGCATATCAGATAACGATAAAACGATAAGATAAGAAAACTATATGATAAAAAGAAAATGCAGTGATTTACAAATATAATCATATGAAATGCTGGAAGAGAGACATTCCATCATTTTTAGCATTATTTTGAATAAAGCAGCAACAATGCAATGAAAAATTTAATGTGGGAACGTGGCATAAAAAAACAGGAGGTTGTGTTGAAATATATAGCTCAAAGATATTTTGTAAATAATTATGTGAATTAGCAAGGGTCAACAGAGTGACAGGGTCTAACAAAAAGACCACTGTGGAAAGATGAGGTTGTATGTCTCCCCTGTAAAGAGTCTTAACTCAAATGGACTAAACTTGACTAAATTTGACTAAAACGGCAGCATTCCTCTCCCAATGATCCAGCCCTTTGTCTCCAGTTTCCAGATGTTTACAGGCCATTAAAGTAAGGGAGTGCATCGCAATGAAGAACATGGTTCTGTCCCAACGTTTTTAGCTCAAACGCTCCTGTTTGTGAATACAATCTAAATTTATGAGATGTAAAAAGAAATTGCATTCTGCTTTTATCGATCGTCCCAACATTTTCAGCATTTGGGTTGTTCCTTATTTTAGTAATTTCCCAGTGGAACTTTCATATGTCCCACAGTGAATTAACCCCCCTCCCTCTGGGGAGGGAAGATTTTTTTCTCAATATGACCTCTTTTTCATAGTATTGTATATGTGCTAAAATTCAGAGCATTGAATTGTAAACCACACGTGTCAGACCCCTAAAAAGACATCTTGGCCAAATATCTTTATTGGTTGTTTATTTTCCCCCCGTCACACGTGACTAAAATCACAGTTAAATATTCATTTTCGGACTTCTCTGTTGCAGCTGGTACGTTTTGAACAGCCCTGTTGTTGCTGTTTCAGTCTGTGTCTCGTGTTACAGGAAAATAGATATAGTAGATATAGAGTACAGTAACTATGGAAGGCCAAGAACCACCTGTCAACGAATGATTTGACCATACTCTCTTGCTTTTCTCTCCCCTCCTCTTAGCTATTCCAGCCAATGATATGCAAATCTCAGAGAGAACGCAGTACCAAGGTAAGGTAATTTCTCTCACTTGAAAAACATTTTATTTCCAATCACATTATAAAGATCTATCCATTGTGGATGTATCAGTGAAAGAGAGGAATCAAAGCAGTACCAGGGGCTTTTTAAACCAGATATCTGTCTCGGCTCCATTTTCCTAATCCTTTCCCATTTCCTCTGTAACCTTCCACCCCCCAGCACCCACCTCAAGGGTTCACGTGGCTTATTGTGTGTCAGAAGTGGGAAGGATTAAACTCATTTGAAAAGAAAGATTTTTCTTTTTCATTAGATAAAAACAGACGGTGGTGATGTGACACTGCAAAGGAAACAGAGACAGAAACCTTGACAGGCATCCTGTTTTTTTCTCCCTAAAGTTCAACTGGTGAATGGCCGAAACAGGTGTGAGGGCAGGGTGGAGGTGCGCCACAACAGCTCGTGGGGCACAGTGTGCGATGACGACTGGGACATGGTGGATGCCAACGTGGTGTGCCGGCAGCTGGGATGCGGAGTGGCCGTGGCCGTGGGCAGCAGCTCTCAGTTTGGTCAGGGGACAGGGCTCATTGTGCTGGACAATGTGGACTGCAGGGGGAGTGAAACGGACCTCAGCCAGTGCCACAGTCTGGGATGGGGTGTCCACAACTGCTACCACTATGAGGATGTGGGTGTTACCTGCAGAGGTGAAGCCCCTCACTCGTGTCTGAGGTATAATCCTGATTAGACGTATATAAATGAAGGATGTGATTAATTTATTTTTCTATATATGGTTAAAGAACCCACCCTGGTGGGGGCAAGAGGCTTTGAGGAACGCACAACACCATCCCAAGTCAACTCTGGCTTACGTAAGTGTCCTCTGCTCTATCCTAAATGAGACTGGTCCTCTGCCAACCCCAGAGGACCAGTCTCCAAGACACAGTTTATTCATATTCAACCCAACAAATACTGGACTTTGAGGGCAGCAACAATTAAACCTGGGACATACATGTTAGATAACAGTTTTTATTTGTTTTATTGTACGTCTGAACCTCACACACATGTGTTATGTGGGACTCAGCCCTGACTTTGAGAAACAAACCAAATCTGTATTTGGTAATATTAAGCCCCAGTGAGCAAATCTGATTATTTATGCCAGCCTCCTCAAAAAAGAGTATTACCCCATCAGTCAAATTTACTGTAGGAATTACAAACAGATGTTGCTCTAAATATCTGCTATATACGTTTTGAATCAAGTTATTATTGTCCTTATGCAATTCTGAGTTATTTATTTCAGAATGTACATGGTATCTTGATTGGGATTTAGATTAAATGTGTTTTTTCATAATATTCTGATAATATATGGAAAAGTAAAGAAATGTGCCAGCCAGATGTTATTCCCAAAAATGCAAGTTTTATTAAATGCTGACTGATGATTTATTTAGCAACTGTGTGGTCTCCAAAATAAAGAAATCCTAAAGGGATTTATTAGCATTTCAGCTACAGGATGTTAGACACCACAAAAGAGGTGTTGGTTTAGGGGATGGTGTCCTTTGGAAATCTTAATGAAAGCTGTGAACTCCCCGGAGGCCTCTAGAATTGCAGACAGTTTCTCCTTTTTTGCTTTGTTGTGGTCCCCCTGTTGTTCCTGTGTTATTTCAATAATTCCTGAGAGGATCATAAGAGACCAAAGATGAAACTACACTCGCTTAATAGGTGGCCAAGCGACGTATTAACCTAATCCTCCAGTGACCGCCATGAAACCAAACATAGGGAGGTCATCCAGATTCATGACATGGACACATGAGACTGTCTATTGTCTGTGTGTTTTTGTCTGGGAAAGAGCATAAGGTGACATACTCTCTGCTTGGTGCAATAGGAGATGTTCACACTTCCTTTCCTTTCCCCCCCTGACTCTCACTTTGTATTGTCTCACTTCATTCTTTTTTCTCTTTATCAGTGTCTCGTCATTTCCTCTGTCTTCAAAGTTTGTGTGCATTTGAAGATTGATAGAGCCCGTTTCAAAATGTGTTCAGTAGAGAGAGAGAGATGTGTTCAGGCTCTGTGCTTATAAATCCTTCCTGCTCCCTCTTGGTTTAGGAGATGGGACCATTCGTTTGGTGAATGGGAAGACCTCTTGCCAGGGCAGAGTTGAGATTTACTACCAGGGAAACTGGGGGACAGTGTGTGACGACGACTGGTTCCTCAACAACGCCATGGTGGTGTGCCAGCAGACCGGCTGTGGCACCGCCGTCTCTGCCCACACCAACTCCTACTTTGGCTACGGCACCGGCCTGATTCTGCTGGACAACGTGAACTGCCACGGCAATGAGCAGGAGCTGAGTAAATGCAAAAGTCTGGGCTGGGGCAAACACAACTGTGGCCACCACGAGGACGCCGGAGTCACCTGCACTGGTACCTTTCTCTCAGTAAATTTTCTGTTTGTTGCCATGGAGAAAAAGTTCAGTTTCAGAATGAAAGATTTAGTCACAAGAGAAAAAAAATAGCACTTACATCAAATGTATTCAACTTTGCAAGAGAACATTTGTATGCTTCTTTGAATGATACAATTTTATGTCAATTTTTCTACTTTTCTTAAGGATCCACTACTGTACCCCCTGTTGCAACAGAAATCCAGAGAGGATTCTGGGAAACGATGAACACTGAAGGTGAAAACAAACTGTAAACCACAGATTTTTGCTCATTTTTTAGAAAACAACCAGACATTTACCCTTTTGCAGCAACATATCTCACTAGTTGTGCTGAAATCCCACTGTTGGACCCAAAAATGCACTTTTGACAAATGACCAACAGAGGGGGCCATTTCTGCCCCTGCCTGTAAGTGTCCTGCACCATAGTGGTACCATGAAATGTAGAAATTCTTTAACTGAATCATGAAGGATTGGGGAAATCGGAGGAGATTTTTTTTTCCCCCAAAACTTTTTTGTTCCTCATGGAGAGCAGTTAGGGGTGAGTTAAAGATGAAAGGGGCCAAACAAAGTTTTTTAATAGACATTGAGGAATAATTTCTTATATATATTACTATAACCCACCAGTTTCCATTGTGGTTTGCATTCCTTACAAAGTTCTCCCTGAACCCTTTAACTTAGTTGGGAACTTTTCTCAGCGAAACAGAGAAAATTCCTTGCCTTTATGCTATCTTACTGATGGATTTCTTCTTTTTTTTTATTCCAGCAACACAAAGAATCCCAGTCACAACGTCACCAACTACAACTACTGTTAGCACAACTGCCCAGACAAAAGGTGTACAAGGTAACAATATTAAGCCAATTTCAGCTTCACAGACACAAATACAATGTTACTTACAGACCTCAGCCAAGAAGAGAATAATAAAGGGCCTTTCTAGTCTAGAATGGCAATGATGCACTGTGTGTTTACGTATATGCAGGCAAACAAACCGTCCGAGTGATGAATGGTAACAGCAGCTGCCAGGGTCGCGTTGAGGTCCTTTTCAGAAATGTGTGGGGAACGGTGTGCGATGACGACTGGGACATGCCTAATGCCAACGTGGTGTGCAGACAGCTCGGCTGTGGCCCAGCTCTCGCGGCTAAGACCAAAGCCTACTTCGGCTACGGCTCTGGCCCCATCCTGCTGGACAATGTGGAATGTAGTGGATCTGAAGGCGAGCTGTCCCAGTGCTTCCACCTGGGCTGGGGGCAGCACAACTGCGGCCATCATGAGGACGCTGGAGTCATTTGTGCACGTAAGACTCGACTTGGTATTATTTGGCACATGGACCCAAACTTCATAACATTTAAACTTCTGTGGTCAACATAGGGAGGTTCTGTTTCCATTTTCTTACTGACACCTATCTTGAGTAATCTTTTCCACTGAAAGCTCAACCTTTCCTTACATCCAGTCGTCTGAGCCTGCCCCGCTGAGCTGTCCTTCTGCAATGCATGACTGTAGTTCTCTGAGGAGGAGACAACCCATGAAAAATAAAGTGGATGAGTCAAGGCAAATCAGCCTCACTGAATGCCTGCAGGCCAATTTTCCCTCCTCCAGGGCTGCATCAAAAACACACAAACTCCCCCTTCAACATATAGTCATTTCTTGGTTAGAGATCAACTGGTAAACGAATAATATTTTTATAAAAAAAAACAACAGTTTTTAATTATTACTCGAATAATTCTGCCAGATAAGATCAATCAGATTGTATGTACATTAAAACAAGAACCGTATGCATCGAAATCATTTTGAAAAGACACATTTGCAGTGAAAATGACATCATCCCTTTATGTCTGTGGAATTTTGCCTTTAAAGAACCCAGGAGACAAATAGGCTTCCTATATTGATCAGTGGAGTAATTAGAGGAGAGCTCCTTGCTAATGCTTTTGTGACCTGATATTTCCGGTGTAAGCTCAGAGAGTAGGAGCATCACTCTGTTTTCTCTGCTTTCCTCTGAATCATGTAGCTTTCGACCCTCAATTTTTCTTCATCCCAAATGGACGAGACTTCAGAGTAACAGAAAAAACGACAACCGGCACCACCACCACAGAACCCCCTGAAGGTATGCCGCATATATCTTCAAGTAGCACACAATCAGCCCATGTCAGCTGCAGACCGAGTGTCAGGAGCAGCTATGACTCTGGCTTTACAGCACTTTTTGTTCTTCTTTGCAGGAATGCTGAGACTGGTGGGTGGCCAGCACCACTGCGAGGGTCGAATAGAGATCTACTTAAACTCTGAGTGGGGCACAGTGTGTGATGACGCCTGGGACCTCCCTGACGCCCAGGTGGTGTGTCGGCAGGCGGGCTGCGGAGAGGCCGCCACGGCTTGGGGAGAAGCGTACTTCGGACCGGGCGCGGGAACCATCCTGCTGGACAATCTCAAGTGCAACGGTGCTGAGGCCTCCCTGCAGGAGTGCTCCCACATATCCTGGGACGTGCACAACTGTGACCACTCTGAAGATGCCGGCGTCACCTGCTCACTGTCATGATTCCAGCAGGACACCACTCCCATTTCTACCCCGGGTTAGGAAGCGGGTGCACTGAGCTGGGACTTGTACACATCATGTAAATAATGTCTCTCACAATGCTGAGGGAAAACTTCCCCGTCATCAACACACAGAATAACTAATGTGACCATATATGATTTATACTATATCTATCTATGCCTATTAAGCACTTTATAAATATATTATATAAAATATAATGTACACATTTTTATTTGATAAACTAAAAAGAAGCAAAGCTTTGAAGTGTCTAACTTTCTTTGTTTAAATATTTACTGTACATGTTATGCTTGGATTATTAAGAACTACACAAAGGGAAGTCCCTCATTTAAGTGAGTGCATAAAGTAAATGTATTCTTAAAGAAGAATTGACCAATCCCTTACATGTAAGATAAAGCAAATTGAAACATGAATGGGAAAAATTATATCTTATACAATAAAGTCTAAGAATGCAAGGAAAGAGAAGCACCCACGAATTGTGTTATGTTTTGTGAATATGTGAAATATATTGTGTGATCCTTGTGTTCTGTAAACCCACACTTTAATAAATGTAACTAATAATCATATATATGTGACAAAATAAATGTTCTTATTTTTTCTAAATATCCTTGGTGTAGAAAAAGATATGTTAAAAACAGTAAACACATTTGGGTCTTTTCAAATCTTTTTTAATGTTTTAACATCATCTCAAGAGGTATTGTTTATAGTTTAAAGTACTTATTTGACATATTTTGTGATCAGTTAATCAGTTTTTATAGTTCAGTCTCTGCTTTGTGTTTCCTCCTTAGCTAATAAGAAAGGATAATGGTAGTGGCTGCATTTTGGTGAAGATTTACAATGGCGAGCAAAAAATGGGAAGTGTGTACATGGGCCAAAATTGTTTGGTGTTGCACAGATGGTTCTTTCCTCCAACAGAGGGTGGTAATAGTACAGATGGGACGTCATAGATGACTGCTGACCCAAATGACTCGTTCAGGGACACTGACTAAATCCTAAAATCCACACTTAACAGAGTCATTGACTCTGAGGCTGGCTCCAGCCAAGTGGAGGAGGGCTCACTTTCTCATAATATCGACTCATCAAAATCCCTTTGAGCAGCAACCTAGAAAAAAAGTTTGAAAGAAGGTTGTAAAAATCTCCATGCTGCTATTCCCAGTCTCAAAATATAATGGACTTTTATGTTGAGCCCACACAAACAAAGCCAGCTTCAGCAGCTGCTTCTCACACAAGCAAATAAACACCGCAAACTAGTGAACCCCAACCTTTTAGAATAAGCATCAATCAGTTACAAGAGACAAAGGGAAAAACTTCCTTCACAGAGACATATCCCTGCCCGTCAAACCACACACAACCAGGGTTTAAATATAGTGTACAGGCTTTGCTGATGGTGGGGCAGTTAGAGGACCAACCCATCCACAACCAGCCTATCCCAAATGAGGAACCTTTACAGAGTAGGAGCAGAAGCCGTATCAAAAGTCTAATCTATGGGTCATAGCGTCAGAGCTCTGAAGCACGTGGTTGAATTGGTACAGGACCCCAAATTGTTTCTCATTGTAAACCATCTATTCTCTGTCATCACAGCGGCAAAATCTAAGCAGACATCCCTTGTTGAGACCTCCTTATTGACCTTATGGTGCTGGAGGAGTTTCTGATTCAAAGAGCCAGATCCTGTCCCAAATCTGTCCTGAGCCAGACAAAGCTCACATGTATAAGGTCATATTTACAGTCACCTAACACGTTGTCTTCAGAGACTAGGCCTGGAGGAGATGGTTGTTGGCGAGCATCAGTTGGTCGGACCTTCTCTTATGGGGTTCGACCAAAGAGACGCGTTACACCACCTCCTGCGAACCTGAAGGACTCCATGGGGTTAGTTGGTTTGTGAATAAAGTGGTAGTCAAAGGTGGAGACCTCATTGCTCCAGTCCCAAGCTGGTGAAACTAGTTATTGTATTGTATGACATAAAAAAAGCAAAATATACCCAAATACGTGAGTCGGTGAGCATTTAGTGATTGGGACTTAGAAACCAGGATTAGGATACTGTTTTGGAGAGAAACAGAAATTAAAAACAAGGGTTGATAGTATTGATTGATCCATTTAAGAAAATGTCCAGTAGGCACTGTAAGAGTGCATGTTTGATGAGTAGTGATAAAGTGACTCAGCACTTCTGCGTTAAGCCTGCGTCATAAAGCCACCACATTCTGCAAATGTATTGGGAAAAAAGACTGTCCATATAAGCTAGTTTCAAACTCAAGAAACACATTGTATTTTCGTCATAATATTTATCATAAACTAGAGAAATACAAGTTAGTTGATACAGATTTTTTTTTTATCCTTCTTCTGTTCCAATTAACAATGCCATGTTCACATCAGACATGATACTCAGCGCTCTGTGGTCGTCGGTGTGAGTCTTTGTCGGCATTGATAGTTAAACAGTCTCAGACCGTCAGAAAACATGTTCAGTACTGTGCAAAAGTCTCGAGCCTCCCTTTATCTCTTCCTATTTTGACTCCAAAGAGCTGGACTTTATTCTAAGTGGTCTTTTGCAATAGTTCCACGAGCTTCTGGAAGGTCCATTATAAAGAGTTTCTTTAAACATTGGCTGATTTTTCTCTCATTTTCCATCCAATCCTTTTACATGACCATCTCACACTGAGCTATGAATCATCCAGGCCACAGTACGCACCTACCCCTCTGATTTGACAGTGTCATGCCCAAACATAACTAACAACTTGGCAAACAAACTATTTCAAATAGTCTCTTCAGGAAATTGTTAGGAACAGTCAAAAAGACACATAGTTTATTCCCATAATTCAATCTTCAAAAAAATGTCCGGAGCCTCATCAGGAATGGTTTCCGGGGAAGGGCGGCTGTCAAGAAGCCATCATTAACAAACAGAAGACGTTTGCCAGATGACACAAGCGGTGGACGGTAAATCGGTGGTCTGATGGAAGGATGAGCCCTCCTGCAGCTCAACATTATTGAAGCAGCGTGGGATCATCTCACAGAGAACGGGACAAAAGGCAGCCAACATCCAAAGACGAGCTTTGGGAAGTCCTTCAAGAAGCCTGGAGAGCTGCTCCTGAAACTCGTTAGACCTGAATAAACTCTGTTACGTCATGTGGACGACATGATTTCATATGACAGCCAGTGGTGAGTTCATATATGTCACTTTGAATTTTTTTCTGTTCAGCAAATTGTAGATGAATGTGGACTTCATTACAATAGACCTAAATGGAGTTGGATAGATATTTACTAGCTAAAAGGGACTGTTGAACAGAGGCTCTAACAGCAGATCAAAACGAAGAGAACAACATGTTATCTAGTCTGATGTTTATCTTAAGTTTGAAATACTTACAATCCACGTTGGCTTACTCTTTTAGTCAGAAATTAAACAGAATTAAAGCATTTGCATATCACCTAAATCTAAATTCCCCCCTCTGTGAACATATGGGAACTAAGACACACTTTGCTTGAGCTGTGACAGAAGAATGTCGTCCCGTCCAGCTTCTGGCATCTCAACAGTCAGGACCCACACTGTTTTTCCCATGAAGTTCTGTTTTTTTTAGTGGAGGCAGACTGGTTTGGCATTGCCTTGCAGAAATATGCAAAGCATCCCCTCAAATAGATGTCTGGGTGGGAGCCCTTACAGCATTGAAGGTGCCTTTCCAAATTGGCCGGCTACAGAGCAGATCATGGACAACAGCCTGAGTGGCTCTTCTCCTGTTTCGTGTTGAAGATCTGAACAGTTTTCCACTGAACAGTTTTCCATTTTTCAACCTTTGTTCCTCAGCATGTTCACAGACAATGAAAAACCAGCACTGATTCAGTGATTTCCAGCCTCCACTCTCAGAACACACAGTCCATCACTGCGTAAAAGCTGTCAAACCTGCTTATTCCAACAATTTCTGACTTTTAAAATCCACTTCCTGAATAAGCAAACGTGGGTCTGGTTCCTGTGGCTCTCGGGGTGGGGGTGTGTGGGGTGGGGGGGGGGGGGCTGTGCTGTCAGTTTCTCCGGCTGCCTGGGTCGTTACATCACTCGGAGAGGACACGCCTTTTTAGGGTGGTGACACAACCCAGGGAGAGCGCTTGGAGGGGGAGGGGTGTCCCGTCGGCAGGCGCACAGACAGCAGGCAGCAGCTGCGGCGACAGGACCCGGCACCGTTTCCTCTGCCTCCCAGCACCTCCTCACACTGCGACGGTTCCAAACCCCGAGACCAGGCGAGACGAGAACGTCAAAAAAACCAACCACCGCCAAAAATGGTAGACCGCGAGCAACTGGTGCAGAAAGCCAGGCTGGCCGAGCAGGCGGAGAGGTACGATGATATGGCAGCTGCCATGAAATCGGTGAGTATAGCCTTCCTCTGCCGTGACCTTTCTCCTTTTTCTCACTCCCATTCTGCGGCCGTTAACACC